CCTGCTTTGTCCCTCCAACGCTCGATTCTTGTGTCAGCCCCTTCAGAGCGCGTGCCTCTTTGTCTTTCACAACTTGGAAGGACTCAAATCTCCTTCCTTTTAACAGGTTGTTGCAGATTGGCGAATGATAGTTTCATCACGAAATGCATATCAGCCTCAAACGAATCTGCGATCCATGCCTACACCTCTCTCATGCCGGACAAAAATTTCAGATTAATGCAGAATTTTATTTGCCAATAACTGCAAACGTATACAATGTTTCGTGGATTGTTTGTAGGGTTTTTTTAAATTTATTTATATTTTATGCAATTTGCATCTGCGCGGCTGCGCATCAAGCAAATTTGTTGAGTTTGTATTGTCCTGGTGTATTTGCTTGATATGGTTTTTATTGGTATAGTAGGTCTCTTGGCCATTTTCTTTTTAATCTTCGTTGTTCAAATTCTGTATGCTTATTTGCAAGATAATCCTTAAAGAGATTAAGAAATTCCTTAAATCCTTTCGGTGGCATTTTTAACGATATCCTCATGCAATGTAAAAAAAAAAAAAAAAAGGATTATACATTATTATATATACTTAGAAAATTCTCTACATTAAAATTTTTACCACGTCTACTATCACGGCTTTTTTAATCTAAAAAGCGTGTGCTATTAAGATAAAGATTGAGAGCCAAGATAAAAACAGATATTTCAAACATTAGCGAAATATAGCTTTCGTCCCTTATTGCGTCAGCAGTTGATATTCGAAAATTTAAAAATTAATTTTGCAATATTTTTTTATTTCATTTTTAAATACTTGTATATTAAATTAAATGTATATTAAAATTTGACATTCAAACTGAAGTTATCTTTACATGTTAACTCAGTTACTGGAACACCATTATCTACAATTTTTGCCTTAAAGCACTAAAGTTGTCATATGTGTAGTATATATCCCTTAGTAAAAGCAGGAAAAAAGATATCATAAAGTGAACATTTGTCTTCGCCTCAACTCAGCATGTTTACATTTCATAATATATTATATACATAATAATCTCATAATATGTTATATACATAATAATCTCATAATATATTATATACATAATAATCTCATAATATATTATATACATAATCATTTCGCGAGGACCACATAGAAGTAATGAAGGTGAGCCGGTTTAAGGTCGCAGATCGGTTACTTCCAGGCGGCGCCGACGAAATGTCGACTCACATCCAATTTTACTTATTCTGATAAAAGCCTAAAATATGTTCTATTTATTTTTCTATATATTCCTTTTCTTTTTTTTTTTTTTAGTTTTCCCTGATTTTTTTCGGATTGAATTAAAATTATCTATTTTTTTTTCGTAATGAATAGTCACCATTATGCTGATAAATTGCTCTTATCAACTCCTTAACAAGATAACGGTCATCTTTATCCGCAGTTTTGGATGTCTCTGTGCATTTTCTATCATATTTAATAATTTTATAACTGTAAAATAAGGTTATAATATTCAATATCATAATTTGGTTGATAGTAATACCTGAAATACGCTGTCATCTAAAAGTGCAGGTGTTTTCAGGAAAAATGAATATAATTAACTGTTGTATATCTTGTTTTGGGATGGATTATAATATAATTAACTGTTGTACATCTTGTTTTGGGATGGATTATAATATAATTAACTGTTGTATATCTTGTTTTGGGATGGATTATAATGAAAATATTTGTCTAATACACTTGTTTGTCTATAAAAAACAATTGAAATAACGACTATTCAGATGTTTTCCATGTAAAGTGGTTATGAAATTTGTTTGTTCGGATCTCTTGTCATTGGGATTGGTCCGTATTTATGAGTGACCAACTGACTGTTCCGGATCCTTACTTAATACCTACGTTTTCATGATTAATAAAATTAAAATAATTGATGCAATCGGCAGGTTTCTTTACTTTAAACGTAAATTGTAGGACAAACATTTATTTCGTCGTTTATGAATGGGAACCAATTTCCGTCATGGAGATCACAGTACAGAAAAATACAGTTTCATTCATAACTAAATGTTATGTAAAATGTCTGAAAAATCATTATTTATGAAAATAAATTTATGTTTAAATTCTATAGGTAATAAATAGTCAGGTCGTAGTCATTTTCAAGGTTTTTATTGGTTTATTCGAGTATTTGAACATCTCCATTGCACGAACCTTAAAAATCTGGTGCTGTAAGCGCATCACACAACTTCCACTTACCACTCTCTTCTTAACAGAAATAAGTATTTTCAGACAAAGGGGAAGTGGAAGTAAAAATCATAAATACTATATTGATTTATATTTCATTGTGGGTATTTTTATTTGTATCAGTGACCTTATTTATTCAAATTTAATATTTTTATAGCTGTAACCTATACAATTAAATATTAAATAATACCGACAATAGGATTTATCCGTTTTATATTAAACTCATGTTACATATGGAAGCCTGTTCTAATCTTTCGGACGAGCTCGTATTCCTTAGGTTCCTCAATTGCAACTATTCTCCGTTACGATCTCTAATATCTTCTTTAGTTAATTATCAAATTCTTTCATATATCATATTTAACTATATTTTATATTATAGATTAATGTGAAATGGTCAATTGTTTCAAATTCAAAAAAATGAAATGCGCTTTAGGGGAAGCTAATATTCAAAATTAGCCATTTAAAAGCTGCTAGAGAACATCAATCATAATAAAACCTACATTTTATTTAAAACTGCTTAATTTTACACTGATATAATGAATTTAATCAATATCGTTAGAGCCGTTTTTCAGAAAATTGTAAAAATGTGTTTCAGCGTTGATATAAAGTCGCACTTCCGGTCAGCGAATTTGAACGAAAAAAGTTGCTGCCACATCTGAGGCATATACTTATATACGTAATATCGGTTTCGTAGGACTTTTCGTTTTTGAACTGGACTGCTAGCACGTTAATAGGCTGCTGGCACCTGCACGCGCAGAACAATTTGCCGCACCTAGTTATTCGTTTTCAGGAGACCTCAAAACATGTATTTCCGTTGAAAACTCAGATTCGGAAATTTTCACGATCGCAATACTTACACTTTCTATATATTTCATATATATATATATATATATATATATATATATATATATATATATATATATATATATATATATATATATATATATATATATATATATATATATATATATATATATATATATATATATATATATATATATATATATATATATATATATATATAAGTGAAAGTAAAAATGGCTCCGTCCTGACTATTTATCACCCATGATATGTTGAAAAATTGACTAACTTTCTTCAATAATTCTTTAAATTCTATACATTTTTTTTTTATTAGAGAAACTTGAAAAAGTTTTAAATAATAAGATTTTGAAGAGAGAGAGAGATGTGTCTACATGATGTTGCGTCAAGGCAGTGGTCTCCGTCCAGTTTAAATATAGCTGAAAGTTCTCCAACGAATTCTCGACAGGACTCACTACCCTCACTACCTGGTCGTCCCTTTGGTCAGTTTTTTGCCCTCCCTCAAGTTTGTAAATTCTTAAGGCCCTACCTAGCTTCTACACCCCCGTCATCTTTCCAATAGTTTGCCCTTCCGAAAGCTCTAGGAATTTTCTGGGAGCATACCTCGACTGAACAAAGAATGTGAAGTGTACGCAGAAATACATCGATTGGTGTCCATCTAAATTTTTTTCTGCACAAAGTAACTAGATTTAACTTTAGAATATTAAAATACCAAGCTGTATTCGATTAGTGTAATATACCAGATACAAAGGATTGAGAAATGACAAGTAGTAAACGAAGTATAAACAGAGTATACTAAATTGCAACATAAATAGAAATGCAAACAGTGAAGGATGGGACATGAGTGAATTGAGTTGAATTTTAAAATAAAATACATCATACTTGAGTAGTGTGATGTATTATACTGACAGAAATGGAATAAGTATTATGTATCGTATATGTGTGTATGGTGCACGTCGGCTGCATTCTTCATAAGTCTGTAATAAGATTGTTTAATTTTTGAGGGGGCCACGTTTCGACGGGGTTATGAAATTTCGGAATCCAAATGTTTTTAATTTCGAAATAAAGTTTTAAGATTTTCTCCTTGCTCTGGCGGATCTATAAAGGGGGAGGGAGAAGGGCTTTTAAAATGCTGCCTCCCAAAATGGAAAAATTATCTTTTTCTTAATGATCCATATTTGTTTCTGTGAGTGATCTGAGCTGAATACGTCACTGATCAAAATATATACTTTTTAAAATTATAACACGTTTCTTCAACTAGTAAATGTAAACACTTGTCCAGCAAACAATTACCGCTAAACGCAATATTTTTTCTGCGATCCCATTTATTTTTCTTTCTTTTTTTTGACAGGCTTCAAGGACCGCCTATACATAATTTATATATAGTCTCTTTATTTCACTTCTAAAGTAATTATCGTAAAAACAAATCCTGAATTCGTTACCATTTAAGCAAATGTAATTCACAACATCGCCATGTATATTTTTCTGAAAATATAGAGAGGTCTAAACACCCTGTTTTTTGTTTTCGTCTGTGTCCCTGATGTTTTTAAAGGAGTGTCTTATTAAAAGACATTTCACAAACTAAGACATTTGGGAAACAAAAATATCTAACTTAACTTACAGCGACCTTATTGCTAAACCAAACTACATATTTATTTTTTCTCTCTCAATGCCGACAGATCATGAAAAATGTCCAAAACAAGAAACAAAAATACTAGCATAGCGAAATAACCATTTATATATTTGATTGTCCCATAGTTTGCGAAATATCTATACGCACCTTTAAATATCTAAACCAGGCTTAAAAAATTCTTTTGTTTTATTCTTTATTTTTTATAAACTTGAGCGTTGTGATTCGCGGAATACCGTGTATCCTTTTGGAATAAAGTTAATTTATCCTGACGAGACACTGCTCACTGCCTGGCCAGATGGAGAGGTGGTGGGGGTGCCGGTGGCGGCGGTGGTGGGGGAAGCCAGTAGCCTCAGAGAGGGCTCCGTTACACGCCGCCTCAGTCTCTCAGTGCCCTCGTCTGTGTTATGTGCGCTAGTTCACTTCAACCATCCGTCTGCTATCTCATGGTGGATACCTCTCTCCAGATCGAGACGACTGTACTGGCAGACAGAACCAGCCCCAGGGGTTATCAGGTACATCAACTCCTTCACAGCTTAGCGCTTCGTTATTTCAAATTCATTCCAAGCCTTTTCTGCTATTTAACGGTTTTTAGAATCCAGGTTTTGAACCGTGTCTCTTTTCTTTCGGTGAACCTTAACCCCAGTTAATTCTTGAGCTTTCCTTCGGATGTAGGCCATTCCGTCTGTTAAGTTTTCACTTCTATGACCCTATTTCCGCTACCTCCCCCTTCTTTCAGACTATAAATCTCCTTCATTTTATTTCGATTTAATTTTAAATTTGATTTACTTACTCCGACTATTTAAAACTCATTCTTTTTCAGAAAATCATTCAATTATTGATCTCTTTCCGACTTAACCTTCCCAACTCGAGTTTTGCTTGTATCGAATTCTATATTCTTTGAAATGGGTTAGTATAATATGTTGGACATAATAAACGTGCCCGAATCTAGGTGGGGTTGTGAGGACTCCGGAATCAATACCTCTGGCATTGAGGGTGGAGAAACGAACCCGGACCATAAGGTTAAAACTTGTATGAGACCGCAAACCCGACGATCTTTTTGTTTTATTTTTTTTAATTTATTCAAATTTGAAATTGATCCGCCGTTTCCTCTACTCACTCCTTTCCAAGGGCGGAACTGATGGTACAATGAATTCTAAGCTCCTATTCCTTCAACGTCTATTTTAAGAATTTTCATTCCTATTTTATAATCTATATTACATTTATAATTTTCCTTATAATACTGCCAACTTGTATAAGTCTTGTACTAACCTTGAGTTCATTGTTATATTTTTTATGGTATTCTTCAATCAGATTATGATTATTATTATAAAACTTTGTTTTTGTGAAATCTTTACATAACTCTTTATAAAACACAGTATATAAATGTCTTTATTTCATTATTTATTTTCCTTTGTCAGGTTGTTTAATTTCTTCTTACTTCAATCATCCTGTTAAAATTAAACACTTGGTATTAGATTAACATTAAACAAACCTGATTTTAAGTTACATCTTTTTATTTTATCATATTAAATAAGTTAACAAACATCACATTTTCAATATTCATAATTTCTTGGTCTAGATGGAAAGAGTTTTACTTAGGGACACTATAAATGAGTTAAACGCTGGTCTTATGTTTATATTGTTGCATTATTAGCTTTAAAATATTTGCAAATTAAATTAGTTACAAAGTTTCTTAAAGAAATGTGAAATTCTTTCTTTTTCCATTGCTTCATAAAATTATTTAAAATTGGTTTGCATATTAACATATGTTGAACTCATTAATTTAAAAAAATGATGTGTCCGTTTGTTGTTATAACATATTTATTATTTCATTGCCCATATGGGATCAACTTATAGGTTTTTTTTAGAAGTTGGTTAATTATTAAGTAAATAACAGATTTGTAATGACAGTTTGTATATATATATTTTTTTGTTTTCAGTTCCTTGGGAACCACTGGCTAACATTGATGGAGTTTCGACTAGACAGCGCAGAATATTGCCAAGCTCAGCACAAATAGACAGCTTGTGTTAAGTCCTATTTAAAAAAGACAGTTTTCAAGAATTATAGAAACTACCCAGGTTACATCAAGGCACCGTCTTGACACCTGGTGAGCTTATTCGGAAATAACACCCTTATACAGGGAAAAGTGAGTGCTTTGGTTATTACCACTATATTCCTTTGGAATTCGGAGAGAAAAAATAAATAAAACAAAAACATTTAATAGTCGAAGATAATTTTGAGAAGAGCAACACCAAAGATAGGGTGTGTTGAATAATTTCCGGCTCATCAGATGCTCTTCGGTGCTTAATACAGAAGATTTTTTAAGTTTTCTGCATAAGACACCATTGTTGGGAGATCTTTTCTAACTGATCTGAATAGCAGTATTTTTTTACAGTAAATTTCGTTTATTTATAAAATATTTTTTGGCAGTTGAAGTGCTAGTGCTTGTGACTTACCGTTAAGTTTTTCTGGGAAATGAGTATTGAAACAATGAGGCACAAGGATATTCGCCCCCCTCCCTGCGAGATTGAGTACAAGAACATGAAGTTCCTCATCACCGACCGTCCTACCGACCAAAACATTCAAAATTATATCATGGTAAGTATTAATTATGTATGCTTTATTAATGATAGGTAAATCTGTAGTAGTTTCATGTAAAAATTGACATGTTCCAAGATCATATAATCACAATGTTCCTGGAATTCCCAAAGCTAGATGAGTGCCTTGCTTTTGTCAGGTTAGGTAAGCTCTCATTTGCATCACAATCAACTAAAGAAATTGGCTTGTGGATATAAATACAATTCAATTATTGAATTTGCCAAACTTAAAAATAAGTAGATATATTTAATATATGTCATAAATTGTAATAAGATACAACTGAATCCGAATAGTAAATTATAATTTGTAATATTTATGTCGGTATGTACACAAAATATTCTTTAATAATATGTTTTTGAAATCTAAACAGCTTATATTAACCACTGTGCAGAAATCAGTTAATATACCAAGATTTTAGTGACAATTATCATATAAAGTTGTACATACTAGCAAATTTTTCTATTTAATTCACAAGTGATGTTGGTAGATATGTCATCCAAACATGATATTACTATGGTTTTACCTAATTATCTAATGTGTTGCACTAATTTTTGTGAAGTTTTTGTTTGCACTAATGCGGGCATAATTTACCAGCTTTATATTAATGTATATTTTTAGTTAATTTCTTAGTTGCTATAGCAAATATTATATATTCATAATTTTTAGAAAAATGTTATCCTTATTCAGTGGATTTTTACGTTTAAATTGCCAATGCAGTATCCCTATTTTGAAATGTAGTTACTGAGTGTAGCTAAGGGTGAACGACATTTAAAATATTTGAATTGTTTATAGTAATCCTTACTCTGACTTGATGTTTGATCAATTACTAGAGGATGCTCTTTATTCAAATTTTATTCTGTGCTTAGTGAACTAAAAAAGTTATACATTGATTGTTAACAACACAAGGTATTAACAAAAATTAGTTAGCCAAAAATAGGTTATATTGGCATGACCTTCACTCTTTTATCAAATAATTTATGCTGTACCCCAATTTTTTTTTTTATAGTTCACTTAAATTTTGTTTCAATTTGATTGGAGATACAGAAGTATTAATTTTGTTCATTTCAGTGCTTGTAATTAGTAGTAGTAACTGTACTGAAATAAACTATTTATTATTTAAATTTCTTGTGAATACGGGACTTAAGAAAAAAGATGTATGAGCATTTGTCCAAGTTTTTCAAAAATCAGGTTTATTCAACAAAGATATCTTGAATTTTTGAAACGAATATAGATAAACAATTAATGATTGTCAGGTCTAAAAATATTGAAATTGCGGCACTATTGGGCTAAAAAAGTAGTGGCACAGTTGAACTTAAAGCAAATTTACAGTAGAATCATTTTCTTAATTTGTTGGTGTAATGTGAACAAGTGCAATAAGCTTTGTATTGTATGGCTATAGTCTTTAATTTGATTGATTCTAATTTTATAATTTCTATTCACCCCTATAATTTTGATCTCAAATTTTAAATAGTCATGTTGCACCCATTTTGAGCACCTCTGGCCCAATGCATTTATTTTGAATTATATTTATTTATTTAGAAAATGGTTTTAGCTTACCATTTCGAGGATGGGAATTGACTCTCCATAATGTTTAGAATAATAATAATAAAAAATGAGCCTTTATTTTAGTTTTCTGCCAACTGCTTTAATTTCATATTAACTTGTGCGCTTTTATTGAAATTGATTTTTTTTTTTTTTCGTTGATTTTTATGTATACACTTTTATATATTTGCTTTGTTTATTTTTATATGGTCTCCATTCAGCTTAATTTTTATATATTAACATTTTTTGGTGGGAAATAACTTTGCTTATTTAACTAATATTTTATTAACCTTTTTACGAGGTTTTGGGTTTACACTAATTGATTTGGTTATTGGATTATTTTAATTTATTTTTTAATCTTTGCATTTATTTATTACAAGATTTAGGATCAGAAATGTTTTTATGATAGCTGAACCTCAACTTACAGTTTTTAAAATTTTGACTAGGCTTGATTTCTGTTATTATTAAATTAAAAAAAAAAAAAATACGTAGTCTATTGTTTTGTTCCTGTTTGGATTGTTTTTTGTTCTATTTAGATTTTTTGGTTGCCCTGGTTTTTAAATGTTTTTTGAAAAATTTTTGGCTGACAAACTTTATTAACATTCTTGGGTTTAGCCCTTGTAATATCAACAGATTCAAATATAGACATAATAAGATTTGTAATATATTTAGGACTGAGGATGCTTATTCGCAAAGAATAAGTTAAGCTTATTGTACAATTTTGGTAGGAAAACTTTTCAACAAATTTAATTTCTGTATGACATTTTAACTGGTCAAAAATCAGTTAATTTTTAAAACTCATTCTAATTTAAATTCTTTTGTAATTTTCACATTGTCTTTGTTTTGTTCTGTTCCATGATTCTATCTGTTTTTTCTTTCTTTTTTTTATTAACCCGTGTTGTGTGTCATGTAAAGTTTTTCATGTTTTTTTTTTCAATTAAAACAAAAAAAAAATTGTGCAGTCTTTTCTTTATGAGTGATGAAACATTTATCTTTTTGTGGTATACAGTAATATTTTTTTATAATTACTCTACAAAAAAGTGACCATTTTATCAATTTAGATTAGATGTTCATGAGTTATTACTTTCACTTACCTATGTATGTAATATATAGTAAGGGAAAGTATTACGATCATGAAAATTTTCGAATCTGAGTTTTTAACGGAAATATGCCTTTTGAGGTACCCTGAGTCCAAATAACCAAGTCCCACTAAATGATGTGTGTGTGTATGTATGTTAGCAGTCTAGCTCAAAAACGAAAAGTCCTAGGAAACTGATATTACCTATTTAAGGTAGGTATATGCCTTAGATGTGACAGCAACTTTTTTCTTAAAATCGGCTAACTGGAAGTGCCACTTTATATCGACGCTGAAACACATTTTTACAATTTTGTCAAAAACAGCTCAAACGATTTTGATTAAACTCTGTGTATCATTGTATATGTTTATAACCTTAAGTACATTTACTGTATTTTAATAATTCTAGATCTGATATTATATTTAAATAATTAGGTATCAACGTCCGTTTATTCCGAAAAATCGTCATGTAACTTTTTAGAAAATTAAAAATGAATAATTTGATAAATTTTCTCTTTGTGAAGTACCAACATTATCCATTTATAATTAGTGTAACAACTTTTGGCCTACCCATGGCAGACAATGAAAATCTCGTAATTTCATTTTAGTAAACTTTACAATGAAAAATAACAGTTTAATAACTAATAGTCGTAAAATCGATAATCATCTATAGGTTAAATATTCAGATATACTTTCAAATCTCTCTATGCAGATATGAGCCTTTCGGTTGACAGAAAGACTAACTGCAATTTCAACATTCTTTATTATTAATTTTAATGATGTTTCTAGTGGCAAAATTTATACCTTTATTCACAGTTCAATATTTCAATTCTGCAATCACCTACTCTGGGAATAAACTTACTCACTGTCTCAATTTTGAAATGAAATTTTCTTACTAAATGTGAACTTTTAAATTTTTTTCTAAGTTTGAAAAAAAGTATTTAAAATCCACCGAATCAAGCCAATGCCATTGTTTAAAATACTGTTTCATTGTACTTGTGTGAAATATAAAGAATTTTATAACCTTACATACATTTACTATAGTTTAATAACTCTAGATGTGATATTATATTTAAATTATTGGGTATTTATCGTCCATTTATTCAGAAAAATCATCATGTAACCTTTTAGAAAATTAAATTAGTGAATATATTGATTATATTGATAATGAATATTCCAACAGTATCCACTTCCAAATAGTGTGACAATTTTTGACCTTTCTATGACCAACAATGCAAATCTCTCAAAGTAAACTTTTAGTATAAAATAGCAGTTTAATAACTAATAGTCGTACAATCCATAATCAACTGGTGATATAATATATAGGACTTTTGTTACTTTAATGGTATTTATGATTTGTTAACTGTGAGCTTTTAGCTTTAACTCGGTTAAAAAAACAATTAAAATTTTTTATAATAGTCAAACATGGCCAGAAAATAATTTCTATTCAAAGTTGAGCAGTAAGTGAAAGTTGTGTGTTGGGGACACCAGATTTTTATTTTAATATGATAACTGCCATGATTATTAGCCTATCGTAGTTAGTTTTGTATTGGTTATCTAATGAAAATTTTTGATATTGTTTATTGTTAAATATCTACTATAAACTAAAAGTTCTTATTAATGTTAAGCATAGAGTTTAGTTTTTAAATGATCCTACAAAAAAGAATTATGAGAGATCAATGATTATTACCGTGTAAGTTTTATTAAAAACTAATAGGAACTATATTAACTAACAGTATCTCTATTAAAAAAACCGAAGGCTCAATAAGTTGTAATGTGACTAAATTTTCATAACTTCGTTTAAATTTTTTATAATTTATTCTCCATAATTTAATAGTATATCTTTTTTTATTTTAATTCATTTTTTTCTCTCTATAATATATATATGCCTCCTTTTGTAATTTTAAATTAAATAATGTTAGGTTTTGATGTCCAAATTGTTTTAAGCGTTCACTATGATGCAAACAAAACTAAAAAAAAGACATCCAATTTTTCTATTTTATTTTAATAGCCTGTAAGCTGTTGTAATGGCAGAGTTTCGTAACATAATATGGAACATAAAAATAAAAAGTTTTTTACGTTTTACACTTTTAATTAAATTTTTTTTTTTACGCCTACTATCCTGGCCTTTGTTATTAGACTTACATAATCAAAATGATTTTCTGTACTAAATAGACCGATTATGTCTTGTTACAGGTTTCTGTGAAACTCTTTTGTTTCAGACTGTCTCGTTTATTTCAATTGTTATTCTTTGTTCAAAATTTCATCTTTTTATTTTAACACTTAACACTCAAGAGGCTCTACCTGTTACAGTTATTCTCGTAATTCTCCTGTTTTGTCAATGACTAAATGAAGGGTCGGAAAAGTGGTGATGTGTATAGAATATTAAGATAATTAAATCAAGTAACTTCAAATCAAGTTCCATTGAAAGGAAAGCTTCATGCCTACCTTAACCATAGGCAATGGCCCGCTGGCTACAATTAACTGCCTATTGTACCTCAGGCTCTGCTTAAGAAAAAACTTACTTGAAACAAACAAATAAAATTAAGAAGATAGACTGTTCAGACAAACAATCAATTCTCATATTGTCTGTACTACAGTTCCTACAGCATTATACTGGGACAAATTTAAGCAGTAATTGGAGAACTTCGGGGTTCAAAATAAGCACACTATCCTTAATGACTTAACCATTTATAACTGGTCCTGTCATAAATATTGTTACAAGGAAATATATTCAAATTTCAACAGAAAAATTAATTTTTTCAAAAACTTTATTAGAAAACAAAATGTCTATAGAGAGAAAAACAAAAAAGAAATGATTCAAAATGTCTCCCTTTTTCCTTGACACAGGTATTTAATCTCTGTGGCCAGTCATCAATAGCAGCACGCAACACTTCTTGAGGTAAGCGTTCAACTGCTCTGACCAGAGATTGTTTGAGGCTTTCCAAATTAGGGTGTGCTCTATGCCATGCCATCCTCTCCAGTTCGAACCAAAATCAATAATCTAGTGGGTTGAGATCAGGACTTCCTGAGGACCAATCCGAGGCAGAGATGAACTTTAGAATGTTCTTTTGCAGCCACTACTGGAAAACCCAATAACTTCCAGCAAACAGAGTATCATTATAGGCTTAACAATAAGATCCAAAATAAGATCCTAATAGTTTTTAGTGGCTGTTTTAACCCCGTTATCATAAAAATAGAACTTTATGGTGCCATCAAAGCAAACTCCCCGCCAAACCATCACTGAGGAAGGGTGATGACCTCTTTCCACTCTTCCAATGACTTCCTGTGCTTCTTTAGAGCTGTGTGCGTACACACGATCATTCTGGCAGTTAAATTTTTCTTCAACTGTAAAAATGTTGTTATCGCTAAACAAAATCTTTCAATGAAGGCCATTAGTGTAACGACCAAGGAACACTTTGCATCTATCCACTCTATTTCTTTTTATGGAAGTGGTTAGCCTTTGTGTTGTCATTCTTCGAAATGCATTCAGCATTTCGAAAAATGGTCTAAGGTCACTTTTTACTATGTAAGACATTGATCTGACAGATTCCCATTTCCGGAGACATGATTTGTTGTTTTTGAATAGGATTTGTTCCGGTTCGAGCAGCCACTGCTCTCACTGCATTTGTCATTCTCATGGTGTCGCATACAGATAGGGTCTCATTATATCTATTTATAGTGCGGTACACGAACACATGACTGATACCCAAAGGTTTCGTAGTGTTGGAAATCTCTGACCTACATTTTCCAACTTTGTGTAAGGTGATCACAGCTATTCTGTTTTCTTTATCACCCCACTCCATGTCAACTGAGCGAAAGAAAAATACAAACTAATTGGGATTATTATCCTGTCCTGTAAAAAAAATAATCTGACAAAGGTAAGAATAATCTAAATAATACCCAAGAATGTAAACATGGTTCAACTTTTGTTACAGTCTTTATGGCAGACCTAGGTACAATCAAATCTTACATCCGTGACATGCTACATTTTACTCATCATAACAAAATCACCCATCCTATCTCAAAATCTATTCATTAATTTTCTCCTCCCTATTACCTGGTTCTGATCACAACATAGATTAAAATGAAAACGGCCCAGAGATCTGTGGTTTCGCTTTTAACTAAATTGAGGCCTTTATTAAACAAAATCATAGAAACTAAGCAGTTACATCTAATTTGCTAGATATACTATTGCAAGTGGTGTAAACAAATAAAATGAATAACAATTGATAGACCACAATACTAATTTTTAATGTAAGCTGATTTAATTGATATTATTTACTTTTCAATCATTTCATATTTTACGATAAAAAAATAGTTGGTTACATCTTAAAATATGTTCTACATTCAATTTAATATGTTCCTGTTTTGATGTCAGCTGGTGTATAGAGGCAGAAAGTTCAACCATGATATTTCACAATCTTTATTGTTTTTATATAGCATATAGCAATTCATATTATCAGTTGCCATTTTAATCAAAACGGTGTCGACATAGTTTTATCCAATCATTAGGCCTCATACATGTCATATGTCTCAATTCATTATTATATAAAAAATTTAATTTATTTATGTTCCTAGTTTATGGAAGAAGAAAAAAAATGCATCAATAATGCATACTTTTTTTATTAATATTTGAGAATTGCTGGCCTCTTAATCTAACTGATCCTGTTTATCTTTTGTTATACAATCTTTGAATGATAATCATCATATTTATATTTCTTCTACAAATAGTGTACACTTCTGATATTATTTCTTTAGTTATAGAAAATTATTTGTTGGCTTTAATGAACCTTCTTATTTTTTTTCTATATGTTTTTATATTTTTAATTTTACCAAAATGATGCTGATCTCGACCAGTCTAATCATCCGTACAGTGCAATCGGTAAAATTCAACCTGGCTGGCTGGATTAACCCTAAATAAAAAAGGGAAAATATTAATAATTTTTTTTCATAAAATTAGCTAGTTTTAGTATTCGTCAGCTGTCATTTGATGCAAATTATTTTAACTGAAAGATTTCTAACATTTAAAAGACAATTTTTTTTTTTTATAACAAAGCTTGGTCTATGAACTTCTAGAGATTTACAGAGTGGATAACTAACCAATAAGCAGAGTTGCCAACAGCAAAAATCTTTTAATAGTTTGGGGGAGGGGCTTGAATTCAATTGCTCAGAGTTAGAAATAAACACCAAATGGGTCAAATGATCGATTTATTCAATGGAACAAAGTAATTTACTGTCAATTTTCACAATGTAAAAATATTTTTAAAGCTTGGTTTTGGTATAATTCAAAACATATAATCTTGGTCCATCATAAAATGAAGTCAATAGCACAATCTTTTGCTGGCTCTTATCTTTAACAGTTTTCAACTATTTCGGAATCGGTTATGACTTCTAATATATTAATTTTTAAAAACAATACACTTTAGTCTATTTTTTAAGTAATTGTTATGCAGTGGAAATAAATAATAAGTATGGTAAGCAGATCTTTTTCTACCCAACAAGAAATTCTGACTCTATGCTCCAAAATCTATTCCCCTGTATCTTTTATTTATTTATTTTAAAGACTTTTTTCTTCTTCTGCTGTTGGTAATGACATCTAAATTTCCCTGTTAATAAAAATTTTATGAAATACATTTGATTTGGAATGCCTATAGTTTCCTTTATCGGTAGAAATTAATTTCACAATCATTTAAGGTTTGTTTTATAAGAACAAAAAAAGTTAACTAAAACACTGAAATATGGGTACTGTGTTATAAGACATTTTAGTAGCTTAAAAAATTGTAAAATCTTAAATAATTCTTGAATATTACATTTTGAAGAAACTTTATTGTATCGTATAGCATTGGTAAAAAAAAAATGTTTAATTTAAAGTAATTGAGTAAAAATTGTAGTAACGATCTAAAATTACCTCTAAAGTAAAAATCATCCATACCAAGGATAAAGGAAAAATTACATTTCAATCATTATAATTTTCTGAAAAAAAGTTATTCAAACACAGATTTCAATTACGTATAAGAGCGTGCCTTTTTGACAACTATTAGTAGGGGCTCCTAAATGACCAGAGTTGAGTTGTTGTCAAGATATAAATATCAACAAACAAAAACTTCACACATTTTTAAGATGCTGAAATATATCTATTGCCTAAGAAATAATTTATTTTTTATGTTTATTTTGTTTATTGTGTGAGAAAAGTGCATTCTAATTGTGGTAAAGCTTCCTGATTGGTTACAGGAACTGAAGAAACATAATGTACGGGATGTCGTGAGGGTTTGCGAACCTACCTACAAGATTGATGAACTTCAGTCTGAAGGTATCACGGTCAAAGATTTGGCTTATGAAGATGGTACTTCACCTCCTGCTGATGTAAGTGAAATCCAATGTAATAATTATTTTTTATTTAATTTTAGTTGAAAATAATTATCATTTTACAAACTTCAATAGTTACAATCATGTTGCTTCATCCATCTTCTAATAATCATCAAAATATGGCATTTGCAATATGAAGTAATAATATCATCAAAACTCATTTGAATCGCAAGATAATTTTATCACAATATTGGGGAAAAGGAGGCTTACAAAAATATTGGGCCCTTTGGCCTGGTTAATCAGAATCATCATTATTCTGCCATGTTAAGGGTTGCCAGGACGATGGGGGCTGTGCCAAGTGACCCATTATTTTTATAGGCCATCTTTTTATTCGATTATATGATCAAATTATGTTACGATTCAAGGAGGAAAAAAGAGTGAGTGTTTTACTATCTTATTAAATTGACTTATTTACCAATCTCCAGATTGAGTTCGCCCCATTTCCGAGAATTTTCGTAAATAAAAAAACTTGTAGGTAACGATGAAATAAAGTAATTCTCCAAGTTTTTGAATAGTATTAATAATTTGTTAAAGAAGGGTCTGTACCACGCGCTGTAAGGCATAATTACCTGATTTTTGCTGTAATATTATTTGTTTATTTCTTATAGGTAGTAGATGAGTGGTTTGAATTGTTGAAGACAAGGTTCAAAGAAAGCCCCGAAGGGTGCGTCGCTGTTCACTGTGTGGCAGGCCTCGGCAGAGCACCTGTTCTGGTTGCATTAGCACTCATCGAGCTCGGCATGAAGTACGAGGATGCTGTAGAATTGATCAGGCAGTAAGTAGATTTTTATATAAAAAACTTTATCCATGTCCAACTGTTATACTGAGATTAAGAGAGTGTGATTGAGTGGTGCGGTGGCTAAACAGTGGTAATGGTCCGGAATAATGAATCTTGACGGTCATTTTTTTTTTTTTTTTAATACTGTTGAATCATACAGAGATTTTCAAGAATATGGTGTCAATAATTTTAAAGCTAATTGAATGACCAAGTGATATAGGATGCTAACTTAATAAATATCATGTACAGCAAACCCTTAATACATCTAACTCTTTAAGAGACCAGAAAAAAAATCATTAGTTTATTGTTACAAAGTTCATTATATCAAAATAAAAACAATTAGGTTAATAATATATATTTTTTACTTTCACTTACGCATATATGAAATACATAGTAAGTGTAAGTATTGCGATCGTGAAAATTTTCGAATCTCAGTTTTCAACGGAAATACGTGTTTTGAGGTCCCCTGAGTCCAAATAACCAAGTGTCGCAAAATGGTCTGTGTGTGTGTGTGTGTGTGTGTGTGTGTGTGTGTGTGTGTGTGTGTGTGTGTGTGTGTGTGTGTGTGTGTGTGTGTGTTAACAGTTTAGCTCATAAACAAAAAGTAGTACGAAACTGATATCAAGTATTTAAGGTTTGTATATCGGCCGGATGTGACAGCAACTTTTTCGTTAAAATCGGCTAACCGGAAGTGCCACTTTATATGAACGCTGAAACACATTTTTACAATTTTCTCAAAAACGGCTCTAACGATTTTGATTAAACTCGGTGAATCATCGAATAATTAAGTGGTCTCTAATATCATTTAGTCCTTATCCCCGTTGATGTCAGGGCTTAAATGCCCAATGTGCATATGTGTCTTCCTCTAAAGTACCTTTAATGTGGTTTATTTTAAATAATCAATAATCTCTCATTATTAAAAGTTATGAAAAAATGCTAAATATAACTTTTGAATGAATTTGATGATCGAATAAAGGAGAAAAAAATAAAAATGCTTATCCAGGTCGAAAATGAATCTCTGGAAATACTGGTCCGAAGATATAGGTATAATATATCGTTGGAAAGGGGAGAATTTTAGAAAAAACAATATCAAATATAGATCGTTGTAAAAGGAAACGGAGATTGGCAAAAAAGATTATAAATAATATTTTTTGAAAACTAATAATATTTAATGTAAATCACATGTTTTCAAGGAAATGAAATGAAATTTAATAACTAAATGCAACCTTTTAAAATATTTTTAATATTGAAAGAAATATTTAAAATCCACCTAATAAAGGCAATGACATTGTTTAAATAACTATTTCATTGTACTTGTGTGAAAGAAGAAGTAAATTATAAAATCATTTCATGCATATGTTTATAACCTTAAATATATTTACTGTAGTTTAATAATTTTATTAGAATCCATAATCAATTTATCGCCCAATCCATAATCAACCGGTGATATAATAAATAGGACTTTGGTTATTTTAATGGTATTTATGATTTGTTAGCTGTAATTTTTTAGCTTCAGCTCAGTTAAAAATGCAATTCAAAAATTTTATAATAGCCCGATATGGCCAAAAATAATTTCTATTCAAAGTTGAGCGATAAGTGAAAGTTGTGTGTTGCCCTCACCAGATTTTTTTTTATTAAAATGATATATGTATAATGGTTATTTTAAAGCCTTCGCTGTTCACACATGTATCAATTAGTAATAAATTTTTATCATGATTGAATTTATTCTTCACCACATTTTTTTTAATACATCTGATTAACAACTCTTTTTGTTATTTTGTCTCATTAAACCATTAACAGTTATTATAAATAAAAGAGATATATACATTCATTAATTTCCAATAAAATTCAAACATTTTCAAAAGATCTACTTATCTCGACAATCATGAGTGTTGTATTGTTTGTTGCTATATCTATACATAGTCCTAAAAGGAGACGGAAAGTGATGCAAACGTATTACATGGTAATTAATTGTTTATTTTAATTTTACCTGTACCACTACAACAACAACCCATGAAGGGTCTTGGGTTCAGTACTATTTAGGAAAAGTACTGTTTCAAGCCACGGTTGTGCAGGGAGGGGATCAGGCCAGGATCATGCTCAAGCGCCAGGTTTTTCCTCTTAATCAATTATTTAATTAAGGGTACCAATGAAACAATAAATAATTTTTCTGCCATGAGCCTATATCTACTATAGTGTTGGTAAGTGAAAGTTGTGTGATGAGGTCATTGCACCAGATTTTTTCTTTTTCAACTAGCACTACTTATATTATAAGTGTATATATATTTCTTTTTTTTTTTTAGGAAAAGGAGAGGCGCGATCAATTCAAAGCAACTAGCTTTCCTCGAGAAATACAAACCGAAATCTCGATTGAAGATTAAGAACGGGCACAAGAATTCCTGTTGCATCCAATAGCCAATGACACAACTGTCTTTGAATTATGGAATTAACTGCTTGTATTTTAGAAGCAACTACCATAATTATGTGTTCAAGTGTATTCTTGAGTATATTTATTGAAATATACTTTTTGATAAAATAAAACACCTGCACACATAATTATGTATAATTTTAATTATATGTTAACATACCAATATTTTAAATATTTTATGTAATTGATTATGTTATTTGAATCAGTGAGGGATATCTTTCTTATTAAGGTGTCAACATTACGGTACCTCTTTATTATAGTCATTATATTTATTTCTTAATTCATAAAACTTTTACCGATTTCAAATATTTTTTTTAGTATCAGTATAATTTTCTCTGTGACTAAAATATTTCTATGAATATATTACAAATATTCTTTCCAATACTTTATTTTATTTGGATACGACATTGATTGGGCAGTTTTATTTTTTTGAAAATATCACAAATATTGTTTGAGCATCACAAGTTTTCTGAATAAATTTAAAAAATAAAAGTCAAAACAAATTAATATATGATGTCTTTCTCTAATGAGCTGAATATAAAATTAAAAAAAAAAAAATAATAACAAAACAAAGTAGGCTCACACTGAAACTATTTTTTTATTGTTGAGTTGCTTACAGTTTTAAAAATACTTTTAACTTTGTTTAATCTTTGACGTGATTTTTCCTACAACAGGGAGACATGTAAATTAATAATAAAAAACTAATAAGATTGTATTGTACATAAAAAAAACTTCATAACAATTTAGTTTCGTAACGGTTATAATTTTCCAAAGAACACGCCATATCTTATTTAAATTTAAAAAAAAATATATAGAGATACATTTTGTATAACTAAAAATACACTGCCAATATAATAATCTGTTAAGATACGTAATTTACATGTACTCGTATTGGATAACATTACTGTTTGTAGGATTATGCATAATCTATGAATTTTATGCTGGTTAAGTATTTAAGCTAAATTTTGCATGATATTGTTTTTTGGTTCCGATGTATTATGAAAAATCTATTCACTTAATATCTATTTTTATTTTGAGTTAAAGCCATAATGTTACTATGTTTTGATTTAATATCTATATGTATTACTATTATTTTTTGCTGTTGAGCGTAAAAATAGTATAGCTATGGTCTTGATAAGTTTTAATTATGTGCATTGTTGTGGTAAGTTTTGTGTAATGGATCATCACATATGTAAGATTGTTTTAAAGGTTTTTGAAGTTTAGAGTGTGGATGGTAATAGGTTGTGTACTTGGCTATATGGTTAGTAAACTTTATCATTTTTTTTAAATAAAAAATTAATTAAATCATCCTGTTAAAAAAAAATTATTAACCCTGTTGCATATCTGAGATTTATAATTTAAAATGGTAAATAGAGAAGAAGGCAGTTTTTGAAAGAAACATCTATTGTATGGTATGAGATAATATATTATCATGTAATAAATAGTCTTGGTTTTTTTGCCTTGTACCTAGTTCCTCAACTTCTTAAGACAGTATTCTGTTGTGCTTAGTTCCAAGTATATCTCTATTGAAGTAAGAAGCTAATACAATATATATATATATATATATATATATATATAAAACTTTATTTATATTATTTGATTGTTTTATATATTGTTATGACTTATCTGTCTACCTTTTTAATACTATTTGTTATTGAAGCGGAGAGCTAATATTCAAGCTTTGTTGGAATAATTCAGCGCACGAAAAAGTTGCAAATAATTGACATGAAGTAATTAATCGTTAACTTGTTAGTTGGAATTTTTGGCCATAGGAGAGCTGATATAACTGAACTACAAACAACAAAATATATTTAGATTTAAAGAACATTAAATTATTGAATTTAATAATGTATAGGAACTACATTAGTTAAATTAACCCTTTAAAAATTATATTTAACAAACGAATACCTATTGTTTACTCTGAGCTTAAATTTAACAATAAGATTGTTCATTAATGTTTTAATTGTTAAGAAATGAACTCAAATCTATTATACTATTCAGTGTCTGCAGAATGTTGTATATATAATGAAGTGCTTTTACTTTTTATCGATTTGGCAATATGACTGCAATCGTTAGGAGTTGATATACTGAAGACCTACATGTTAATGATTTGCATTTTCTGGTAAGTGTGTGTCTGCGCCTTGGAAAGAGATTAAACCATCTTCTATCTGAGAGTTGATTCTGTGAATAACAGCGGATCTTATGATTCATAAATGATCATTTCTAAAGTCAACCTATGAGCTTGTCGCTGGCTGAGTGGCGAGGTGGACAAGCGGGCTAATACGTATGCACAGTTCCCAGTAGCCTGATAGCCAAAGTTATAGACAATAAAATAATTACAAGTCCGTGTTCCTTTTAACTCGGCCATTAATCACTGACCCTGAAAACCCAAGAAAAAGAGTGGGAGAACAAAAAATTAAAATAAAAAAGCCTTTTTCACTATATCATAGTATACAGGGTGTCGCGTTAGTAGAGGGAAATATTTAAAAGGTTGATAGTAGACATCACAATATATAAAGTATAAGTATAGATATACAAACTTAGTATGTTAACAATATATCAAATTCTTATAAACAATTGCCTGATTTCCAGCAGGAAAGTAGGAAATTTAAGATTTGTGTTTTTTAAGTGAGTCACTTTTTTGTTGAATAGGAAGCGATAAATCAAAAAATATTTGATTTCAGTAATTAAACACCACTCCATAGCAAACTTAACAAAATTTAGTCTAAATGAAAGAAGAGTTTGTCATCGTTAAAATTATTTAAAGAGAGTTCTTCTAAACGGATAAACACAGCTAAGTTCCGTTAAAAAAAAAATTGGTTTTTTTTTATCATCCTTCAACTGTACTACCTTTATTTACCCCACTTTTACAAAAACTTTTAACCTCGTTTAATGAGCTTTAAGTCCATATTAATTAAGTTGCGGTTTATCAGAAAAAAAATGAGATTCACCTTAAGGTTTGGAAAGAAGTGATTTCCTATCCATTCACATTAAAGTAGCCATGTTTTCTACAAAAATGACTACAATTAACTGTTGCAAAGCTCTTACTTATTGTTCTTCCGTGTTATGGGGTCAATTGTAATAAACATAGTTGCCTAAAAACATTTTACTCATAAATGTATGATTTTTTAAATATTTTTCATGTTAAGTGGTTATGAAGTTGTTTTTCTTGCAGATCTCCATCATAGGAATAGATGTCTATTTATAAGTGAATAAACTTAATGTGTCTTGCCATAATATTTACTTTTTCATGAAAATAATTGAAGCGGTCAACAGGTTTCATTGTTTTAAATGTCAATTTCAGAACTAGAAACATTATGTTTGTCACTGATCAATTCCTGTGACAGAAATCTGGGGAGAAAAACAAAATTACATAACCACTTACTTTAAAAAATATTTTAAATGAAATATACATTTAGGCAATTATTTTTATTAAAATACATCCCAGATCATAGAAAAACAAGAAATGAAAGCTTGCAACTGTTAATTGTTGTCATTCTTGCTGAAAACTTAGGTACTTTTAGTAGACCCGATAGAAAATCACATCATTTCTTTAAACAACTAGAGGCAAATCTCAAGTTTTTGCCTAAAAAACCTCAATTTAATTAATATAAACTAAAATCATATTAAATGCAGTAGTTTTTCTAAAAGTGGAGTAAATGTAGTATAGTTGAAGGGTGATAGAAAAAAATAATGAATAATTTATGATTTTTTTGAAACATAGTTTAAAGTAGTTTAGCTACTCAAATATCCTCTTTAAGTGGTTTTAATAATGACAAACTCTGTTTTCCAATAAAGTAAATTTTGTCTAGTTTACAGTGAAGCCATTGTTAATTCCTTAATTTAAATATTTCTTTGGTTATCACCTTTCTACTGGCTACATATATATATATATATAAAGAGAGAGCTACAAAAAAGTTGATATAATCAATTGGCCGAATCAGAGAGACAGGGATATATATGCTGACAGAGAGCATGTTCCCCCCGCTAATTAGCAGAGAGAATTACCCACATTATAGGGAGTTCGTATACAGGTGGAAAGATGCTGTAGGCCCTACACATTTTAATTCGGGAAGAAAAGGAAGCTAAGACTGCAGCTGCTTCAAGGACCAGCTTCATGTGGAAGAATGGAGAAAAGAAAAGTTTGTGGGCTTGTGCACACAAACAAGTCTACACCTCATAAGTAATATTGTTAACAAATTTTAATAGACCTATACTGCCAGCAGTGGAATACGCATTCTGCTGCTACAGCCCGTATCGCCTATAAGGCAAGGCAGGGAGAAAAAAAAAAGTAACTTCACAGGGCTTAAATGACCAATGTTTATATACGTCTTCCTCTAAATTACCTTTAATGTGGTTTATTTAAACAAATTAACCATCTCACATTATTCAGAGTTACGAAAAAATGCTAAATATAACTTTTGAAAGAATGTGATGATCGAACAAAGGAGAAAAAAGTGAAATTGCTTATCCAGGTTGAAAATGAATCTCCAGAAATAACAGTCAGAAGGTAAACGTATAATATATCGTTGGAAAGCGGAGAATTTTAGAAAAACAATATCTAATATAGAAAGTTGTAGAAGGTAACGGAGAGTGACAAAAACATTATAAATAATTTTTGAAAACTAATATTATTTCACGTTAATCACATATTTTCAAGGAAATTAAATGAAGTTTACTAACTAAATGTAAACTATAAATTATTTTTAAATTTGAAAAAAGTATTTAAAATCCATCTATTTATTTATTTTCTTTCCTTCTTCTCTTGCCTCTTGGCACAGATCTACAGATTTTTGGTAGAAGTGGTTGATACTTTTACCACTTATCTTCAGATTTTTCAGATTGAAGTTATCATTCCCGACTACTTCCTTCCACCCATACAGGAATGCTTGTTAATACAGGTAGTTATGCTTACTTACTAGCTGAGCCTTTCATATCTGGGAGGAGGGAGAGATCTCAGGTATGTAATTTCCTTAGGTGGAGGGTCACTCATCCAGATACTTACCACAGTCAATGTTGATTACCTTTTGCAAGTACCTTAGCCGTTAAAGAATAACATCAAAGAAGATGTATTCATAATACATACACATGATAGAATTCATTTAAAATGAACTACTAGTTGAAGAGGAAAGGGCACCATCTGGCCTGGCCAGGATGCAGTACAGAACTTGGTATGGTCACTGGATATGACTGCTTGAAGAAACTGCAAAGTGGGAGTAGTAATAGATACTCTCGCCTACAGAACTAGAAAAAATAGAATGCAGTCCAAATCAGAATTATACTGGCTTGTTAGAACTCTAATGGGGGAAGCTTAGTAGATACATAATTTAAAAAAAAAATTAAATGAACCAGGAGGCATTAAATTCAACACCACTCAAGCAACATAAACAGTAAACAAAAGTCTAAATGTAACTCTAGTTTTTTTCAACAAATTCCTTTGATTTCTATTCTATTTCTACAGCAGATGGAACAAGAGACAAAAATACTAGTATAGAGAAACAACCCATTTCCACATTCATGTTAACCATAGTTGGTGAAATGTTAATAATAAATAGATTAACTTAATACAGACTAATAATACTTCTTTTATTAACAAAATTAACCTTTTGTGAATAAAATATAATTTTCCCCTAAACTATCACCTCTACTTGATACTTGATATGAATTCAGAAGTTTATAGCCCTAAAAAACAGCAAAAAAATGTAGTCAAAACACAGATATATTTGACTGCTGAGCAGAACCAAAAAGATATTTATTTCTCTCAAAATAAATAGTAAACTGCCAGCCACTGCAGTGAGTAGTACTAGCGAATGTATATCTTTAGTAATTTAAATAAAAAGGTATAATGTCTAACAACACAATTTTAATCAACTTTAATTTTATTCATAATATTAATAAAGAAACAACAATACATAGATTAATAATTAAACTCGAATAAGTCATGAATAACTAAGGAAATAAATATAAACAATAAGTTTTAATCTCAGGATTATTGAACAATGGTTTATTTAATAAATTATATGAAACAAGAAATGATAATTATAAACATACTTCTGTACCAGTTCATAGAGTTTAAAAATATATCCTGCCTATGTACTGTTTTTTTAATACATCTATTTTGATGATTTTTTTTTTTTACAAATCGGATACAATAAAAATAATTACATTTAAAATTATCAATCGTCAACAGAAGAATTCTCAAATACATAAATCACGATAAGGATAAACAGTCATAACATTCATTATTTTAAAGAAACATATTAATTAAAAATATATTTCATAAAATATTGATATCAATACATATATACATGAAATCTATAAAGTTATATTTACACACAATTTTAAAAATATTAAAATTAAGACACGTTGAATTTACAGGTTAACAATTAATATACAATTATTTCATAATTTGAACAAAATTTTCAAGATTCTTCAGGTTCCCACTTTTTGGCTGCAACTAAAATAGAAGGAACCTCTGTGACAAGGATAGGATTAATTTCAAATTTGGGTACTCCTGGTTTGATGATATACTCTTTGTCAAATCTGGGTTTGTAGAAATTAGTGAGAACTGGTTCAGGCTCCTTGTTTTTGACAAATTCTTTCCTTCTTGGTGGTGCGTGAGTGTGCAAGCCCAAATCTTCATCGGTGACTTGTAATTCAATCAATCCTTTATAAACTCGCTCTTCAAAAGGTATGTTTACTTTACTTGATGCCTGAAAAAATAAAAATACATTATTATTATCATTAGATGGTGTTATGACCCATTTATTGAGTCAAAGCATACCCCTTAACTTACATCACTTTTCAATTTATTCATCAGAAAATATGGCGTTAAAATAATAAGTCCTGCATTTTTTTGACATATATTTGCAAATAAAATTAGAATTAAGGAAAAGTGGTCGAGACGGAGTTTGTCATCAGAGTGAAGACACCACTGCGCTAAGCTCAAATCGTTGGGCATCTAGTACTTTTTGGCTATAAATAGTGTTTGACTAAGCAAGGTTTTAAATCGTAGAAAACTGGGGTTATGAAGCTAGAGAGAAGTCACATTTAAGGTACGTTACGGACTACCAAAACATAAAAATCAACCCACCCACATCCAATTAGAAACCGTGTCCCTTCTGATTCGATAATATTGAAAAGAAGGGGCATTAAGGAATGATGACACTGCAGTGTTTCTCCCAAAAGCATAAAAATAACAATTTTCAAAAATGAAATTTGTGCTGATTTTTCTGGCTTTAAATAGATTTATAGAAACAGAAATGTAAAAAAAAAAAGACTCTCAAACAGCAATTCTGGAAGTTAACAGATTTAGCGACCGGACTTTAGTTGATGCACTGCACTGTCAGCAGATTGTGAAAGAACTGTTGCTGAGGAAGAAAGAGATACTCCAATAATTCCCAAGGCGCTGTGGACTGCATGGTAATCACAGGACCGATGCTTGATAAAATTATAATTCAAACCTATTGTAAAATTTCAATTTTATAAAATATAATTCCTTGTAAAAACAAAAACATTAATAATAAAATACACTCACACAGTACATAATGAATTTTTTTTAGTAAGAGCTTAAGAGAGTTATTTCTTCAACAAATGAGCTCTATAAATTTATTACTTTATCTTTTTTATTATATATATTTTTAAAATTAAATTTTCTCAAACTTACAATCACATGTTAGATTTTATTATACTGTGGAATTTATTTATACATTTCCAAATAACAGAAATGTGTAACTATGTAAGAAAATTATTAGTTTAATTACTAATTGTTTACTTGAATAGCCAAAACAACATTAGGATGATAAATTCAGTCTCAAGCTATTCTAGTTCTTAAATAGGATTTTTTCATTCCTAGCTTTGCAGTTCAGTCAAACTATTTTACACCAAAGGATTTAATTTTTCTCCTTTTAAAGCTGTTTTGTAAATGACAGTACAACTGTGTAATTTTTTAAAGTCAAATTTTAATGGTAAAAGAAACTGAAGTACTTTCTATATATTCATAGTTCATCTTCTATTTTTTCTAAAAGACTTGGCCAATTTTGGCATACATTGTAAAGGAGGATCGGTCTTATCGTGGCACACCAAATTGGAAGCAATTTTGTAAATAATTGTAAAATAAAGGTTTGGCTGTGATGGATAATTTTTGGCTATAAAGTTTAGAATTATGAAGAGTGAAATAAAGAATTACAAGTTACATCTTTGATAACAACATGAGAGAAAAAAAATACCTTTTTCTTCCTTTCTCCACTGCTTGATCGTAGCTTATGTTTTGTAAGCTTTCCCTTTTTGATTTCCTGGCCAAGGCTTGTAATACTCTCAATTATTTTTAATGAAGTCAGAAGTTTGGGTTCCGAAAAATCAGTTTGTAAACTCTTGTGAGTTTTCTTTGTATTGGAATTTTCCTTTGTGCTTCTATTTTCGTCTGGTACATTAGATGGTTGTGATTCTTTACTTTCTTGTTCATTTTTTCCACTATTTAACTGATCATAAAATTTAACAACAGGTTTTTTAATCGATGATAATGGAAGAGCAGTTTTTGAGTCCGAATTAACATTATGAAACACTCTTCGAACTTCACACATACTACAAATCAAAGGTTCATGTGAAATAAATACTATAGTACATATAAATAAAATAAAATCAGGTCACAAATAAACACTCTTGTTCTGGAGGTGTAAATTTTCACACCTCTTGTTTACGTTATAGAATTCAAAATTACAAAGAGTTACAAACAAGTTCCCACTATTATCAAGTAAAACAATTTAAGTTTTATACCATGACGTCATAAATGTCTTGCATTAAATCATTAGTAGAACATTTTATACAATAATAAACTTAACTTTAACAATGGCACATAGTTTCCAGGCGATTGACAAGCTAAATGACGCATATTGAAATAACAGCTTACAAAAGATGGTTCGTACATATTCAACCTTGTCAAATACTTTCAATAGAATCACTAGCGGATCTAGGTTTGAATTTTTGGGGAGGGGGAGCTTCAGCTCGAAAGGTCGGTTTTTTTTTTTTTTTTTAATATAAATAATGATTACTGCTTTGGTAGAAAAAGAAAGAAACTAAATAATTACCTATACAAAATGTTCTTTAATTGATTCTTGAAGTTCTATTAAAGATAATTACACCAACAATAATACTTTTACTGATAGATTTTTAATATTTATTTCATAAGACATGGTTATGTTTTAACATTTTGGGGAAGGGCTTCAGACCGAAAGCCCCCATCTCCTCCGTAGGTCCGTCTTTGAATATAATATATATAATCTATGCGGAAGTGATCGCTTCGGTTATAGGGCGGAGGACTGTCCTTTCAAATCTTCTAATTTATTTTTCTAGTACGCTGGTTAGAGTCTAGGTCTCGCAGCCTTAAACTGAATGATCCAGACCCATCATGGTATAACCTTAAGTTTTCTAACGATTTTTTTGGGATTGCATTGCATAATTAAGGGAGAAAACAGCTCAGCCCTTATTATACGTTGGTCTATTTTCACATCGTTAGTCATTTGTTGAGATTATTGTGCAGCCGAGGTCCTTGACTATGTGAACTGTAACAAAAGGGATGGATTTTTCTGCTTACCGTCGTATAGTTTGTTTTATCTCCATTTACTTGCATGCCGATTTGCTCTGCTTCTCTTATTAGAGACTAAGAAAGTATCTCTGTGTCCTCTTGATTGCGATTTCGAAGACGGCATTATCTGCATATCCAACGATGTTATGATTCACACCTCCGTTTTTGGGTGACGTGCTCATCACCTTCTTCCTTAAACATCACCGTCGAGACCTTTCCTAGCTTCAATCTTGCTCGAACGTCAAAGGCTCCAGATATTGTTTTTAATATCAGGACTTCGCATTTAGAATCATTCCGGAAACATCCAGTCATGATCCTTTAAAGGAAATTTCGGTCCACTAAATCATAAGCTACTTTGAAATCGACATAATTTGAAATAAATGACTATATTCTTAGCTACTTCTCATTGTTTTTTCAGGCACTTCTTTAAGTAAAAAATATCTAGTTTAACTTCTTTATCATTGTGGTCGTTTATTATATTTTCGTATACGAATAGTATACAACTTATAAGCAACCACAACAAGTGTTCATGCCTCTTTATATAATAACCACAGTCATACACGAAGTCCTTCTCTAGGATAAAATAGATTAGGCCCTTGTTCTAAGCTTGTTATCTCTTTTTGCTCCCATTTTTTCTGGATGTGATGATGGGCCTTTCTTCTTTTAAGTCTGTTGATTACTATTTCCAAATCTATTATGTCTGGTTGTTCAATCTAGATGGTGAATATATTGACGACATTTGATATAGATTGTGAAGGACCGCTTCATTGCCGTAAGTTTTGCTCTCTTTCATGCCTTTTCGCCTCTGGTGATTAATACGAAAATTACTTGATACAAAATTGTATTAAAATATTGTACATAGAAGGAAGTGAAAGATTTTGAAGGAGAAGGAATGATTTCTACAGTTGATAAAGTGTTCTTTATTAACACTTTTGAATCTGATATTTCGGGAGGAGATGGATGTATTATGGATGGACACGTGTCAACTTGATTTGGCGAAACTAATCAACTAACAGAGTCTTTGTTAAGAAACCTACACGTAACCTCTAATCAACCTGTGCGGAAAGGGTATTATGACTGTGTAGCAAGTTTATAATATTCCAAATAACGTTAATAATCCATATTATAATATAGATCAATATTTTTTAATTGTGTGGGCGCGTCGTTATAACCATTTAAAGTATTATTAGCTTTAGCTACTAAAAAATATCGTTATCAATTTATACTTTTGACTCCAATTATATTAATTTACGGTTCTAATGAACTCTCTATTTTAAATATTGTTGATGAATGATTAAGACTAAAATATGACAAATCCTAGAGAAAAATTTGTAAGTAACTTCAATGATCTAAAGGAGAAAAGTTAAAAACTTTTCCTTATTAAAATAAACCTTTATGTGATTTAATGTTATGTATTACGATATTGTTACTAGAATCCTGAGAAAAAACCTCTTGAAGAGTTGAGTATCTTAGTAAGTGAAGATGGAATCCAGAAGAAGATTCCTGCATTGGTAAGTTCTTGTTGATATTTTTTAAAATTTAATTAATATTGTGAGAACCAATAATCAGTTCATATTATTTTTTAAATACCAAACACTATTTATATACACATTCCATTTACTTTGATTTTGCTAAATGCCATTTTTTAAATATTATAGTAAGGTTACGCCTGGTGGACCAAGATCATATAATTACACTGTGTATAAAATGAGTAGCTAGTAAAGTACCTATGTCTTTTGACAGGTTGGATTGGGTTACATTTCCAACTCGAACAACAACATTACATGGATCAATTAAATGTGTCAGGAGATATAAACTCAATTTAATACCAGAATTTATTTATTGCATTAACCAAATGTAAACAATTTGGGCATGACCATAAAAATATATTTAAAGTACCTGTTAAACTTTTACACAGTATCGTGTACTGAGACACGACATTGTGAACTTGGCCCACTTGTTGTTCAGACATCACACTACTATAGTATTACCACCATTTTTATTTAACATTTTATGATTTTTCACCCTTACATTATTCTCAATACAAAAAAATCTATATGCAGAAGAATTATTACAGTTATCTGTCCTGACTCTGATTTATTTTGTGATTTTTTGAACAAACCGAAAATTTTCAGTTATCTTTTCATGTTATGAATTATTTTATTTTAGTAAATAACCTAAACTATTAATTTGTAAGTTAATGAATATATATTTTTCATTAGTGCAGATATATTTGACAAGTACCACGTAAGGTGGGCGTGTCTAAACTTATTAAAGATAGCATTTGCTCTAGTCTAGGTGCATTTATTTTAAAAAATAATTATATTTTAATGAAGAGAAGAATAGTTGGGGTGGTCAGTCAAAAAATTGACCACCCCAACTATTGTTCTCTTCATTATCCACGACAGTCAACCATTTACCAATTAATTATATTTTAAGATTGATTGAAATATCCATATAAACATTGATATTTAATATATAAAAGTATTTTTATATCAGTCTGCATTTACAATTTTTATATTTTATTTTTAGAGTTCTCACTTTGCTGGTGACAGACCAATGGTTTCATTTTTTGTACCACCGGCTATGAATGAAAATGGTTCGTTTCCAATCGGAGCCAAGGGAGAATGGTTTCATAAGATGGAAATATTTACAGCTAATCTGCAATGGTTATTAGCATTACCCCATCATAGGTAATATTTATTACATAAAATAATATTAATTTCCTCTGAAGGCCATTTATTTACCAGATATGGTTGAGGTAGATCGTTTCAACTGTAGATATTTTTAAACACTTGATTAGATTTTTTAAGTTATGTTTAGATTTTATATACAGGGGGATTCTCTTTCGCCTGTCCTGTTCAATTTGGCATTAGAACATGCCATTAGGGAGGTAATGCGAACCGAGAAAGGGTTGGATCTGGGCGGGACAACATCCGTGCTGGGCTATGCTGATGATCTGGTACTGTTAAGCGAAGACATTGAAACTATAAAACTAAATACGACAACGTTAATGAAAGCCGGTAAAGAACTAGGACTCGAAATAAACGTGGATAAAACAAAATATATGGTTAGCTGCAAAAATGGCGATACTACTGGTGATATCGATATAGATGGTAATATGTTTGAACAGGTAGATAAATTTAGGTATCTAGGTTCTACAATAACTAGAAAAAAACGAAATTGAAGAAGAGATTAAGGTTAGACTGAAGGCGGGGAATGCTTGTTATTTTTCTGTGACAAAACTATTCAGTTCGCGCCTCTTGTCCCGAAACTTAAAAATTAGAATCTATAAAACAATTATCTTGCCTACAGTTCTTTATGGATGCGAAACTTGGCCGCTTACATTAAGGGATGAGCAGCGTCTTAAGGTTTTTGAAAATAAAGTATTGCGTAGAATATTCGGACCAAAGAAGGATGAGTTAACCGGAGAGTTCAGACGGTTACACAACGCCGAATTGCGTGAGCTGTATCCGGGTAATATAATTGAGGCAATTTCATCGCGGCGAATCAAATGGACTTGTAAAGTTGTTGGGCTTAATAACGAGAGAATTCCTAAAAGGTTAATATTTGCTGTGCCGAATGGTAAGCGTCCGAGGGGTAGACCGAAGCGAAGGTGGGAAGATTGCATTAAAGCCGATCTGAAGGGACTGGGTTTGGACGGCGAACGGTGGAGGGGGTGTGTAACAAGCGATTGGTGGTGTCGGCATCGAACCTTCGGGTTCGCTAAGCCTTATTATTATTATTATTAGATTTTATATATTATCACCACATCATTATTGTTTAAATATACTTTATTATAGGTAAGGTGACCAGACTTCTCGCGGGACTGTCCCTATTTTTAACAATTTTTCCCACGTCCTGCAGCATTTTGAAAACGTCCCTATTTTCGGGAAGAATGCATGACAAGAACGCTAGGGGACGGGAATTGAATATACGGATTTTGTCGGCCATGTAGCTATTTCTCCAGGACATGAGTTATATGTGTTTTTGTTAATTTTACTATGTTACATTTTAATAATAAATTAATATTTATTTACTTATTAATAAATTGTTAAGAGCTGATTATCAAGAACTGCTAAGCAAAGTTCACGTAGTTGATCAGTTGTTAAAATTCAACCACCATTGTTTGGACCTAATAATAATAAACTAATGACTAAATGAACTATTGTTGTTAAAAATATATATTGATAAGAAAAAGATTAAGTCTTGGCCATTAGAAAATAAACTTTATTTACTACTTTGATTACCGAAATGTTGTCACTTTCAATAAGTTTATAACTGGTTGGCCTCTGAATTATTCGCAGAAAATTTTTTATAGCAAAACAATATGGAAATAAGTAGATCCTATGTATTATCTGAGGGACAAATTAATTGTTTTTCCTTGTTCAATTCCAATATTTCATTTAACATAGTAGACCAAAATACATGTACAAAGTGCTTTTCTATGGCCTATTTTTTAAATGCTGACTGGAAAGATAATAAAGTCAAAAAAAGCCTCAATCATGGGCTTTTCTAAATCATTAAAAAATATAAAATGTAATAACAAACAAATGCCTTTAAGAAATAATTAGTTTATATATCAGCAAAGAAAAAAAGTGGAATACAATAATAAATGCAGTATCTTTATAGATGAAGAAATTATTAAGTTTACCATAATTAATGGAATGTATCTTTGTAAATAAATGTCCAATCTTTTTTTTTTTTTGTTTTGTAGGTAATTTATTAATCTTTCTAATAATCATGGGTACTTTCAAGAAAAGAATGCTTTTTGAGTTATTCAAAAATAAAGTTTCTTTTCCTTAATAAATTTTTTTCCCAGAATTTTCGGAGGAATAAGACTATTTTTGCATGTGAAGAAGGAGAATATCTCCAAATGAGTGGTCAATCATTGGATTTGATGAAGAATTGACAAAGTTATGGCGTACCGATAAAAAAACACCTTTTAGAAATAATATATAAGATATTTTGAAAAAGAAGTACTTGAATGTGTACAAACTGCTGGCACAAAACATCCAAGGCATAAAAACGGTATTATTATTGAAATCATAAATTAGACGTGAAATACATTATCAAATTATTCTTTCTCAAAATGCCTTTAGAATTAAATTCTCAACCTTATTTCAGCTGAATACTGTCACCTGATTAACATTTGCCCCAGATTATCAATTTGTAAAATTAATTATTGCAACACAAATTTGAACTATTGTTTAGAATTTTTTTTTTAGTCTCCCCTTCCTTGCCTTTTAGACTAAACAGAATTTTTCCTGGGCTGGGGGAGAGAGCAGGAAAATGATGCCGAGTTAAAAGTCCCACCGGACACCGGATATGAACTCGTAATAATTTTTCTATCCCCAACTTCGGTTATCAGGTGACCAGGCAACGCACAGTGCTGTGCACATGGCTTAGTCCACTTGGCCATCCCGTCCCCCCCCCCTGTTGTTTGGACTTAAGAATGAACCAAATTTTAATCAAGAACTTTCCCCTCCCCTCCAGTCAATGGTGTCTTTCTTTACCAAAGTTAAAATCTGGTCACCTTATTATAGGTAAGATTTTGATATTAAATTCGAATGAGGATTCGATATTCTTACGTAATATAATTTTTCTCTCTTGTATATTTAGTTTTAAAATTGTTTATGTAGAGTAATTTTAGGCTTGGGTATTGCTCATTTCTTGTGATTTATAGGTAACTCTATTTAACTGTCAACTGTCAACTTGCTTAAAGGTCAGTATTTGACTGCATCAATTCTCTTTAGTTCAGCCATAATGTGTTGCTTTATTATGGTTCTTCCTCTTCCTTTATGAAACCCTGGACATTTTTGTATATCATATTTTGGTTGTTTTCAATCCAAATCTACATTGTGAACCTGTTTTATGTTTTATCACATTGTTGTCTAAAGAAAAAAAGTCTAATTTTATTTAAAATCTAAAGAATTATATATTTTTTATATATGGCTGTAAAATTTAAGAAAATAGAAAGGTAATAAAGGAGGATTTTGAAAAAAAAAATATTAAAAAATTGAAAAGGAATAATGGACATCAGGGAACAAATTGCTTTATTTTGAAGCTTTAGTAGTAATGTTCATGGACATTTAATATACTATTTAAAAAGAAAACTATTGCGGTGCGTGCATCACACAACTTTCACTTATCACCCTCTTAGCAGAAATAAGTATTTTCAGACAAAGGGGAAATGAAAGTAGAAATTATAGGCGATATATTTATTTAGATTTCATCGTAGGTATTTTTATTTGTTCAAATACTCACACATTCAAATTTTAATATTTGTATCACTGTAATCTATACAATTAAATATTAAATAATACCAACAATAGCGTTTATGAAAAACGTATATGTATATGTACATATTATTGTTGGAGTTTGTGTTATATTAAGCTCATGATACGTATGAAAGCCTGGACGAGCTCGTATTCATTTGGTTCCTCCATTACAAATATTATCCATTACGATCTCTTAGTTCTCCTTTAGTTATTTATCAAATTCTTCTATATTTTATATTTAACTATTTTTATGTCAGAGATCAATGTGAAATGGTTAATTGTTTCAAGTAAAAAAAGCTTAAGGTACTTTAGGGGAGCTAATATTGAAAATTAGTCATTTAAGCCCTGTTAGAGATCATCAATGAGAATAAAACCTGCATTATATTAAAAACTATTTAATTTTACACTGACGTAATGAGTTTTATCAAAATCATTAGAGCCATTTTCGAGAAAATCGTCAAAGTGTGTTAAGTCAATATCATAAAGTGCCACTTCGGGTTAGCTGATTTTGACAAAAAAGTTGCTGTAGCATCTCAGGCATATAAAAACCTTAAATATACCTTAAATATTCTTTTTTGAGCTACACAGTTAACACACAGACCATTTTGTGGAACTTGGGGATTTGGACTCAAGGGACCATAAAACAAGTATTCCCGTTGAAAACTGAGATTCGAAAATTTTCACAATCACAACACTTTCCTTAACTATATGTTTCATATATAAATAAGTGAAAGTAAAAAACAAATTTATTCTTTTAAGGGTTTTAAGTCTAAGTTCTCCATGCATTTGTAGAATAAAGGACTATAAATATTCCTCTCAGAATCAATAAAATGGACAGAAGAAAAAATAGACGTAGAATATTCTGAGAAAATGTTATAAATATGATAAATACCATATTGTAATACATGTATGTATTTGTAAATGTTTTTTTTACATGGTAAAAACTCACCTCACGCCTCCTTCCACCATATGGTCTGGTAGGTGTTTAAAAAAAAAATTTAATAAACTGTGAAGTTGAATGAACTGTGAACAGAATATTTTACCTTTTTATGATTCCATTTTAGCATTTTTGTGTGAATATATATAATTGTCAGCTTCATAATTTCTTCCCTTGTTTTCCTTTAAAGGTTTTGGTCACAAATTGTTTATGGAAAAAAGACATGGGATTCAATTATTTCGTTCCTTCAAGAAGCTTACCCGTTCTTTGCCACTCACAATCTACCCGATGATCCTGAAATCGTGCAGAGGTACAATGAAATATCTCACCTAGTATTCTGTGTTATATGCCGTGCCACCACTCAGATAGAATCTGAGGTAAGTAGCCATTGTTAATTCCCAAAATTACATTTAACAAATTACAATTAGGGGGGTTTCGAATTATAGAATAAATGTTTTTAGTTTCTTATTGCTACTAGGCAAAGAAGCTAATTTAATTGGATCAAATTTATTTGAAATTTTTAACAGATTGATGCATTTCACAGCCACCTAAAAATGTATTTTCAGCCATTGGTCAATGTGTCTATGCCAGGATTATTTCTTCAATGTGTGAACGGGTTTTATTTATTTATTTGTTTTGAAAGTTTTTGGCCCTGTGCTATAGCAACTGCCCACATGTGGAATGTGGAAGAACATATTTTTCAGAGAAATAATGTCAAACTTGCTGTTATGATTTTTATAAAACTTACATAAAGTATTCTATTTGAAGTCTTCCAATTTTTTCAAGATTATTCATTTCTGAGATCCATTACAGATCCCTTACAGATCTCTTACAGATCCCTTACAGATCCCTTACAATTTTGTCTTAGTTTCAATAGATGCTGAAATTTGTTTCGACGATATCCCTACTGACCTCTGCCTCCCAAATTGTTGAAGTACACTGGGCTACCTACCTTAAGATCTAACCAGCAATCATTGCTCTGATTATGACCCACTTCCTTGGGTCGAAATGTCAGCAAACTTAATAAACAACATTAATGGCTGCATATCCTGACTAGTTTTCATCCTTAAATAGAAAACAAATCTTATGATGAAAACTAACGTTTAATTTATGGTAAATTATATCATCCAAATCAAGCATAACAGAAATAGTTAACAGAAAGCAGTTAACTATTTCTGTATTAGATTTTGTTGTCTCCAAAGTGGTAAACAAAATGTTATGAGTGGGCAAATCAAAAAGTTACTTTTTACTTTTTTGTATACTAATTATTTAAGGCTCTTTATTTTATATTTTGTGGCAAATTTAATATTGACTTCCATATTGAATAGAGGATATGAAAAGATCATTGGAATCTAAAGATTACATTTTTTCAATTCCATAAAATAATGCTGATTTACAGTTGACTATTTCATCGAATACAACAAAGTTGAACAAGATCAAATCTTTTTTCTGAATCTTTCAGTTACATTTAGTTTTCGAGAATATCAAATATAAAGCTCTACATACTATTAGACATTTTTGCACGATTTGTCTTGAGACACGGTCTATAGAACATCTAGAGGGGGGCTCGAGTCACGATTTATGGACACTGTTCCTTGTCCCATCTAGCATCCACACAATAATATGAATTTCTCTGTCTCATCTTCGCAGCCCACCATGGATGACATCGTTTTGTGTATAAAGAGTTTAGGGTTTAGAGTTTATTAACCAATAATATTACAATTTGGTCTGACCAGATTATAATATCGGTCGGTGCCATTAATAATAAGTAAATAATTTTTACATGGTTACATTTTTTTTTCTAACAACTTCAATATAATACAATTCTAACGTAGTATAATAATACAATCTAGTTTAATGATATAATAAATTGTAACATTATCATAATGTAATATAATATATATTAAATACTAAATGCCAATATATGAGATCTATAAGATTATATAATCTATATAAATAAAATAAAGGTTTTGTCCATACATTGAATAGAATCAACCCGTTTCATGATATCTTTTCGTTTCATACATTACAGACACCAAATCCACTTTTAAAAAATTGTTTGTCTGTCCTGTATGTCCGCATTGTCCAACGAAATTTTGTCTAGGGTAAACTCAGCAATGGCTTATTGTAGACTTTTGAAATTTTGACATTATATTAAGGTTTGCCTGACTTAAAACATAGCCTTTAAATGAAAACAAAATTTGAGTAGATCCAAAGTTATGAATTTTTGAGTAATTTATTTAGAGATTTAATTTATCTCATTCCAACCTACTCTACCATGAGCCACATTTAAAAGTTGTACTATTAAACTCATGGAAAAATTATCACAACTCAGTGGGAAAAATCCGAAATCCCGAACATCTGTAACGCGTGGTCGCTTAAAACATGGGTAAACATTCATTTTTCAACTTTGTCCGATCTTCCTGTTCAAAGTGTCATTCGATTCAACTTCTCAAGCCTAACAAATGTATAAATTTTTAGGATTAACCAAACGGATTAGCTGGAAATCGGAAAACAAAAATTTCACCCCGCTTGCCACAATATTCAGATCAAGTTCTAATTTTACCCTGATGTAGGTGACTCAATGTCCAACGTTATTTTGGTTATTTTGTCAGCGATAAACTCAGCAATGGCTAATGGTAGACTTTTGAAATTTTTACATTAAACTTAGGTTTGTTTGACTTAAAACAGGCTTTGAGTAAAAACAAAATATTGAGTAGAACCAAAGTTATGAATTCTTGAGTAATTTATCAAGATTTCTTTTTTAGTTCCCTTTATGTTAGGTCCGTTTAACAGGTCTCCTGGTATTCGGTTGAACAGATAAAGGACCATGTTGCTCAATGTCCGTTTCCCAAATCTATTGTTAAATATAGGTTCGAAGTACTTAGCTGGTAATGATCTAGCTATTTTGAAGTTTTCTTCTGTATCCCTGTTTTTTTGTTATAGTTTTCAATTTTCTGTTCTGTAATTTAGAGGGTTTCGATAAATGAATATCTGCACTGGCTCCATAACATTCAATCCCTCACTAAGAGTTCCTGCTTAATGCTAATTACAAGTGAAGGAACACGAAAACAAAAACGTTGGTGGACACGCAAAGTGACATCACGGTAATCTTCAATTAGTTTTAAACTTTCTCGTTAGACCACAAGTTTTCAAAAGAACTGTAAAACTTTGGAAAATAATTGTAAACCTTCGAACCAGGCACTCAGTAGCTTGAGGTAGACTGGGATGGGCCTCGCCTCTGGACACTGAGTGACGTCCACTCTGTCAAAATGTTGCGCAACATGTCTAACGTTCCATATTGTCTCCTATTCCGATCGGGAGGCTTTAAACCTACGATTTTTGGTCTCGCAACAGGTCTGTAGACGGGGATTAGTCTATACTCATGTCAATTAGTGTGTGGACTAGGCTTAATACTGAAGTTAGCTTAGTTTAACTTGGCGGGCTCTGTTTTGACCAGATATGAATATAACAGTGTTATTCTTATTATTACACCTATCTGTTGTTTCCTTTTTTTATTTTGACATTATTTGATATAGTTAATTTTTTCAACAACATTTTAATTTATTTATATATCAATTATATCAAAGTCATGAAGAAGACTTATAGACTTATATTTAATTAATTTTTTCTCTCTTTTTTAGGATGCATGGATTGGTAAGGCAAAATTTAGCGATTTGCTGTACAATAACACTATTATATCTCTGCCCATATTATTTGATATCTGTGTCGTGTTTGGTAACCACAATAAGGACGAAGTGAACCACATTATAACTAATATTTTTTCCTTCCAGCCGTTGTATAAGGATGACCTTGATAGTTCCGTTCAGCATTTGAAAAATGTAAGTACACGTTATCTTATCACTAACAAGAAATTTATTTAGTTAAATTTATAAATGATAGTGTTGTTTTGATAAAATTATCTTTATTTATTATTTATAGGTTTTAAGTTCCATAGAGGAAAGGTTTTCCATGAGTGTTGTCAAAGTTGATGTTACGCTTAATACCAACAAAAAAATGACTATTTCAGAATTGTATGATATAACATTTTATGTCTTAGACATAGCAGCAACTTTGTTTAGTTTTATTGATGCTTACCCTGAAGGAGCAATGATTTTGCATTTACATCGTTTTGAAGTATCGTAAGTATTATCCTCTTCCAATGGTTTTTATTTATATATCAGTTTTTGAAATAAAAATTATATTTCTTAACCTTCAAATTTCTCTTTAAACTTATAAAATAAAAAGATATTTAATGCCAATTATATTAGTACTTCTTAAAGTCAACACTTGGTTACTAAAATTTCAGGAAATTATTAAATGAAATTGAGTTATTGATGGTTCAAGTATAAAGGTAAAAATAGTTTGAGTAATAGAGATTTACTTTTTTACATTTTTAATAGAATGGTAAAGCTTTAATTTGAATTTGAATTTTCTTTTCAGTTAATTGAAAATAATATGAGAAACAGAGATAAAATAAATAAATTTTCAATGGATACTTTTATAATATAATAAAAAACAGGGTGAAAATTTGATTAGCAATAGAATTCATTTAATAAACACTTACATAAGATTTAGACTGTTTTTTAAATTATAAAAAGTTCATATTTAATTAATAACTGGAAATAACAGTGCATTATGAAGGTTAATTATGAATTATAAGAGTGGAATAAATAGACTTTAGTGTGACTTACATTTCAATATTTAAAAAGACAAATAATATAAAAACTGAATAATAGCTGTAATAAAATTAAACTGAAAATTAGCTCCTCAATCAAATTTTTTAGACTTAAAAAAATAATATTTTAGCAAGCTAACAATGAAAGGATTACTAGTGTCTAGGGAGCAAAATATTTTTGAGGAGGAGCAATTATCTGATCTGGTCGGCTTATACTGTCAACGCTCGGCCTCCCCTCCCCTTCTCAGTTCAACCTACTACAGTCAACTAGGTTTTCTCTAAGTTCTTGTGCCTGAAGTTTATCTTCGTGTTTTCTACTTTAATTTTACTTTTAACACATTGTTTTCTTTTTTTTTTATCAATTGTTTTTTAATTTTCAAATATTGTTTACTGTTTTTATCCGTTGTTTATATTTTTAACTATAGCTTTTTTTACTATCAATTGTCTGATTTTCAAATATTGCCTTACTTTTTTTGATATTACCAAAATGTTACTACTAAAGTTGCAATAAATAATTTGCTAAAAAAAGTAATTGGGTGAGCTCTCATTGATTCATGACAAACAAAAGAGCTATTGTTGTGGAGTGTGCTTCTAAGAATTCAACAATCAGTACAATCTTGAAAGACACATAAATATTCATGCCTAACAATTTCATCCACATACCTTCAGTCTCTGAGCTCTACATATAAAAAGAGATTTGAATGAACTTATTGCTGATTTATTGAAAAAAAGTCACTAACATAAGAACATGGGTGGAGATGGTACTTTTAAAAACGTTTTTGTGAATTTCGACCTTATTTATTGACAAAAAGAAACAAAACAAAAAACAAACAGTATTCCCACTAAAATGGCACAAACCCTTTTATATATGAAATGTTGTTACAAGTGCAATTTTTTTTAATTTCACAAATGGAAAATTTTTAAAGTTTGTTGTGATATAAGGTTATAAAATTTCACATAATGACGTTTTGCATTAAACTGACGATATATTTAACCTACAGAAATATAAGGTCTGTATTACATTTTAAAAATTATAGGAATTAAATCTTCATCACTTTTCACATGTATTTTAACTCTATTTTTTTACTTTGTAAAATTTACCACAATAAAGGTACAAGTTTTTCAATACAGCATTGATTTGTCAAAAGTTGTCACACAAAGTGTAAATAAATAATGTAAATTCTCAGATGGATAATCATCAAATTATTCATTAATTAATTTTATTATAAAGTTACATAATGATTTTTTAGAATAACCTAACAATAAATATGATATCGGATATAAAGTTATTAAACTATAGTACCTAAATGTATTTAAGATTATAATGGGCAGAAACAGCTGAATAAGCTGAGTATGGGAGAGGAGGCCGGGCGTTGACGGTATAAGCCGACCAGACCCGAGAATCGCTTCTTCTCAAAAATATTTTGCTCCCTCGACACTAGTGAAAGGATTGAGCTAGCGGTCTACTTTGCTCGCGCTCTGTGGCAGGGTGACAGCAGGTATCAAAACACTCCACTCTGCATTTATTGAAAAACAATTTTTACTTTTGATTAAAAAATTTTCTTTACATATTGCATTTGTATCAGAAAAATTTAAGTGTTCTATTTTTATAACCTAATCAAGAGTCAAGGCTCAAGAGACTTTAACAAGTATTTGTTCGTTTCTTTTATGTATATTATTGATGCTCTAATTACTTTTATTTAGTGAAAACTATTTTTTTATTTTTTTTTCCAGGTTGGCTCAGTTTTATGAAAAAGTTTTCTCCACGGTTATTAAATTTATGCAAGAGTTGTTCGGAGAAAAAAGTGGACCTTATGAATCCCTTCTGTTCACCGTAAATCAAGCCAGAATTTACTTCATAAAGTTATTTTATCTTGTGATCGAATCATCCTTGAATGTTATTATTGAAAACAGGTATGGCTATTTTATTTTTATATAGTGTTGGGTATAAATTAATGTGTCCTGGATTGAAAATTCTTTATATGACGGTTAAAATTGTGATATCAGCTATATAACCAGAGGCTTTAATAATCTGTATAAATAAAAATGTAAAGTTCATCACCGTTTGCTTTGAAATGTTGACACAATGTTGCAATAGAATTCAGGAGTGTTTTTATACACATGCCATTACCGTCCGGTCTTACATTTTACAATAAAAAGAAAAAAAAGTCTTATATTTTGGAATGTTTGCCGAAAAACATGCATCACTATAGCACTCTACATACAGTCTATAGACTGTAGTGCCAAAATGGCTGTAAAAAATTTAATGAACTTGACCAAAGTCTTCTTCTTGAAACCTCTTAATTTAATGTAAAAATTTTCTTCGAAAAGAAGCTGAAAAAAATTTTGATGAATTCAGAATTATATTTGTGAATAACTCAAAAAGTACACAGTTTTTGGTTTATTTTACCCGCAAGTATTTGAAATTTTTACAAAATTAAATATTAAAAAAAAATCATCGAAATGAGACAATTTGGTGCAGAGATATATCATTCTAAACATTTAGTACTTTTATTTATTTAGTACTTAGCCTAGTAATTTATTGTTGGTCCAACATGGCAATTTTTTTTTTTCAGAACTACATTTCCAGAGGAACTATTAAAATATAATACAGAAAGCTTTTTAAATGTCGTAAAGGAAAGTCTAGCTTCTAAAATTTTTATTGTTGATTATGAGAAAATGTATCCGCTGGAACAAGATTTAAACATTCTTTGTCAAGTTTCCCTGGATTCGTATCCTTTTACATTATTTACATTTCTTTTTATTATTAATATTTCTTAAATTGAATAAATTTTATCACATTATAAAAGATTATTTTCCTTAAGATAATCATAGTAACAAAGCAGAATGCGAGTCTGTCATAGAGTTGCTACGTGCTAATTCTGTATGTGCTAATAAAACACGACCTGAAATTGTTATTGATCGGAAGCGTGAAAAGAGTCCTTCTCTTGAGGTAAGTGTTTATAAATAATTATAAAATAACAATTTTAATGTATTTTAAAACCATCTACTGACATTTCTTTGTAAATAAATAGGAAAATAAAATTGAAACAGTTGTCACTAACGGAATTAATTTGTCCGATGTTGAAAAAGATTCATTGATAACAGAAGTAAAAGATATTTTGCCACATCTGGGTGAAGGATTCATCATGGTAAATAAAATTTATAATTTTTTCTTTATTTTTTAATGTTGAAATTATCATTTTTATAAGTCAACTAACATATTTTATCGTGGTTTGTAATTTGTTGTTAATTCTACCTGATTTAGGTTTCCAAGTACCATCATAAATCAAACAGTGAATTTAATTATAGTGAATTGATATTTATTTTTTGTTTTTAGATTGAAATTCTCGTTGAAAGAAGAATGCCAGATTTTGTTTCTGAAATTTGGCATAGATTATCTAAAATGTAATTTGGCATAGAATATCTAAAATTTCATTTGGCATAGATTATCTAAAATGCCATTTGGTGTAGATTATCTAAAATGTAATTTATTTGGCATAGATTATCTAAAATTTAATTTGGCATAGATTACCTAACAGTCATTTTACTAAAAAATATTCAGAGTGGTCCTTTCCATATTAAGTAGTAAATATATCTGTTATTTATTTAAGAGGACATGATGGCCGAGGATGTTGAAGCGTGGTCCTAGAGTGCTTGGTGGGTTCAATCCCAACTAGGGTCAGTAATATCTATTTCTCGGCTGCTGTGGAAAATGAACCTTGACACTCCTGCTCAGGTGGCAAGGCAGCGGTCAGGAGTTTGCAAAAAGGGCTGCGATGCCCTCTTGCCGTACCAGTCCCCCCGCTGGTACCGGCACCAGTTATTTACTTTAAAATTATGAATTTTATATCTGATCTTATTGAGCAACTTTAATTCGTCCTCATGTTTATGAGGTGAAGGAATAATAGAAATGCCTCTTAAAAAAAAAAAAATAATAAAATAAAATAAAAGCTTTATAAATCACACTCAAATAATAACATAAATTTATAGCTGTTTCTATAGAATCAAACGTTTAAGAAAAATTTATTATTTACTTGGCCCGTTTATGTTATTTTTTAATATCCTGAACTCTTTTTTGATTCATTTGATTTATTTTTTTGTAAACTTCCTTCCTTAATACAAGGAGGGATCCAAAAATTTTGAGAATAAGGCTGAGGTGGGAAGGGTGAGGGGGGGAACTTGGCCTGAGTTAATGCGCAAAGTTTGGTTGCCGTGAGTACATCTGTTCATCTCAGAATTTTTGTAGTAAAACAACTTTTTCCAAAATATGATTTATTCCAGAGAAGCCATAAAAGCAAAACTGCTTTAATTCACTCCCTTTAGGAGAATGAATTATAAATTTGTTAATTATATCGTCGATACAATGGCAAACTATCGAATCTGAAAATCAGCACTCTAATATCATTATTATTTCATTCCAAACGAGGATGTTATAATTTTCACACTAATGTCTGCTTTTATGAATGTTTGAAGATTTTGTAATCGCTGTTTGAAAATATTTAATTGCAATTACAATCCCTAGAATGCAGGATTGAAAAAATGGCAATTTTTCATATTTGATAGTTTGCAATAGTATCAACGATATAACGGCTATGAGATAATAGGTAACAATTATATAATGGCTATGAGAGATAATCGATAACTAAATACACAGAGAATTGTCATACAAAATGGCTTACTAATATTAGACAGATCATTTTTTGAGATTTTCAAATTCATAATAACAAATAAACAATAAAATTATTCTTGTGTTGGTATTATGAAGTTACCCACATTTTTTAAAACTTTTGCATGCTTGCTCACTGTATAAAAAACAAGTATTTTTGTCTAACACTCAAATGATGTCGTGTACAGAAATGCCTAGAACATTACAAGTTCAAATCTTCAGATGTCATCAACGGCGTCTTGGAAAATTCACTTCCTCCAAGCCTTCAACAACTTGATCACACACTTCCCATAATTCCTCCTGAGCCTGGTACTTCAGGGGTATGCATCTTTTAAAATATATTTTATATGATGTTTTGACAATATATATCTATATATATATAAAGTCATAAAATAAATTTCAGAAACCAGATGTTATCGCTCATAGAGTAAATATTTTCGACAATGATGAGTTCGACGTTATGAGTAGAGATTATATAGATACATCGAGAATTCATAAAGGAAAAAGGTAATTATTTTAATGAGTTGCAAATTTGACATATACCGTTTTGTTGACATTTAAATTTGACATTTAACGTTTTTAAAAACCGTTGTGGTTTTCACAGTGACAATCGAAAAAGCATTCTTCTTAGAGAGAAAAAAATATATTTTATTTTAAATTTTAACTTAAACACCATTTCATATAGGTAGTTAATTTCTTTCTCTTTTTTTCTAATTAATTATCGTAATATGAATGTGAAAAAAAAATCTTTCGGACTGAAGCCCCCCAAAAATTAAATCCTGGATCCGTTAGTGAATACTACCACGCGACAGAGAATTTATGACTCCTACGCCTTTGACCCCGTCATATTCAACTCGCTCCCTCTTCATTAACCCATTCAGTTAATAAGTTCCTTACTCTAATTAGTCCACGTAGTGGCCCCGTCGTTAAGAGGGTCATCTTTGACTATTTAATTGCGAAACAGGAATATTTTAAAACATCTTTGATAGATGAAATCGAAAGTCAATAATAATATTACTTCACACCCTTTGCTCGTAGTGGCTATATTAACCTCTGGTTATGGAATGAGTAAGGTTCAATCCTACAATGCGGGTAGTCAATTCCAATTAGCTTTCGTATGTAAAGCAGGAAAAATAACTGGTAAAGAAAAGTAAAGGTTAGTTGATCATAAATAAAAAAATATACAACTAATAGTAAAGGTTGTACACATGATAATTTGAAAGATTGATGATTGGAAGAATTAGATTTTATACAAGTGTGTTCGTTTATTTCCAATGATGAACCGTTGTTATCGACCGAATAAAAAAAAAATCTTGTGCGCGCAACACAAAACTTTCACTTATCGATCTACTATGAATAGAAATTATTTTCTGGCAATGCTGGGCTGTTATAATTTTTTTTGAAGTGCATTTTAAACGGAGCTAAAGCTTAAAGCTTACAGATAAAAAATCATTAAGACCATTATAATTACAAAATGTCTACTTAATATAGACAGGCAATAAAAATCTAGTCACTCCATCTGCTTTTATAAACCACATAACATTCTTTACTTTTATAAACCTCAGAATGACTAACTCCAATTTCAACATTTTTGAGTGGTCATTTTAGAGATATTTTTAGTTGAAAAAGTTATCTATGCAGAATATGAGTAATTTTATTCCGGAGGTGGTGATTTCAGTGTTGAAATATAAAACTGAGAATAAAGGTATAAATTTAGGTACTTATTTCTTATGAAAGATGTTCTTAGGAAGGATACTTTATTAATCTGTAGAACATATCTGTAGAAAAAAGGTTTTTTTAGTCTCAAGAATTAAAAAATTATATTTTAACTTTATCCAAATTTTCGCCTCTTCAGGGAAAAAAACTAGAGACCATATCTTTCCTCCTAGTTGTCCGATCTTAATGATTTTTGTTGTTGTTTTTTTTAGGAAATTCCATAAACTTTTAAAAAACCATATACAAAAAAGTGTATACTTAATTTTACCATCCCTCGTACCTTTTTTTCCAGCTTCTTTTCGTTGATGCATATACATGTATTATTATATTTTTAATGTTATTGACTTGCTATTGTGAATAAAATCAATTTTGTGAATGAAGATTAGATTGTATTATTAAAAACACTTAAAATCCTGAATTATTCTGATACATATTTGCAAAGAAAATAAGTGTTAAAGAAAAGTGGTGGGGACGAGGTTGATCTTGAAATAAGTCACTAAATTTCGATCGGCTCATTGGCTAATAGATACGCAGGAAATTTAACTTTTGTGTTATTTTTAAGTGACACTTTTTTTCTTGAATAGAAAGTAATATCAAAAAAATTGTTTCATTAAAGTAATTACCAATTGCAGCTTAATAAACAATAACAAATTTTCTTTAAATGCTATATCAAAATTAATTTTTTATTGGGTGATCCAAGGAATGATTACTCCTAAAATTAAATTCAAAAGATTTTTATGCCCTTATTAAGATTTATATTTGCTTATTTTGTATTGATAGTCAGTACAAAAATATATCAGATTATTGAAATTTATATGTATTTAATGTTGTTATATTTCTGTTATCTAGGAAAGATGCCAAAGACGTTCAAGAAATTTTGGATGATAAATCTTTCCGTGAAGAACTGCGCAATAAGTTTTCTGAACTTGGCATAGTTGAAACATTTGATAATGTGTATGAGGATGAATATGATGATACATATGACGATATCGTTGATCCCATAGAACAGGAGGGTGAAGATGAAAGGTTTGTTAATTTTATCAAAATATCTTGAGGGAGAGATAATTTTTTAAGGATCTTTCAAGTTTTGTGTGTCTGCAGATAATTTGAATTTAATCCCTGTTTTTTTTTAGAAAATTTGTCACACCCAGAGTCTTACAGCAACTTGAGAGATATACCAAAGGAAACCAAAATGAAGAAGAATCTGGAGAAGAGGAAGCGGAACAAGAATTTGGAAACCCTAGAGACAGGAAATTCATACCGTTTGTTGAAAATCCTGAAGACATCCGTAGGCGTAGGGAAGCCAGGTACGGCAGGGGTGGATTCAATCAACAAAGGAATGTTGTGGGTAAGTTGATGTTGATAAGTAGGTACCAAATGTTGTGGCTAAGTTGATGTTGATAAGTAGGTACCAAATGTTGTGGCTAAGTTGATGTTGATAAGTAGGTACCAAATGTTGTGGCTAAGTTGATAAGCCCTTCCTTCTTTTTGCCACTACAACTCAGTGGTGAGTGAGGGTAAGTAAATAAGTATATTTTGATTTTTCTTGCAGTAAAAAACAGATAAACATGCTGAATGAATCCCAAAACATACAGAATCATACTATAAAAAATCAACATGTGTAAAATTATGTTTAATATTTTTTGTTTAATTTAAAATATCAATGCATGAAACGCTTGCCCACTCTTGTATTAAAGTTAATGCTTCTCAATTGAAGTCAGGTTATAATTGGAAGAAGTCCAACCACACAGTGTTATGTCTCCAAAATGTAGGCAAAGAATAAACAACGTATCAACGTTTCACCAATTGAGGCATCCTCATGACAGAATAAAAAAGCAAATTGAACATCACTCCATCACACCCAATCGCATACTTAATTGCATTTGTTTACGCATAACAAGAGAAATAACCTAATTCTAATTCATCAATAAATGGCATTTAATCTAAATCTTGAAATAAGAGCAATATATAAAGTTATCGTATAATTAACATAACTTGCATTCATGTGAACATGAACAGATGATAACCTGAAGGTGCAACAGTCAACAGGGGTACAACCCAGTACAATAGGGGTGTATGTAGGATTGTGAAAAATGCCCCTACCAAACGAGTTCAAAAATGCCTTAGTGCAGTTTGGCTGTGTGCGGGCGGGCGTTATCTTGCAAATAACAATTTCCATTCCTCTCCGTTTGTTTTAAATTGCTCTCACTGGGTCTCAAACTTTTGCAAAAAAAAATTCCCACAGTGCGAAAGTTTCACAGTACTCTTATTTTCTGGACATGCCTCATAAATCATATTTATTTACTATGTTCGTGATAATAAGGTTTGATTTCAGGTCAGCCTAAAGGTCAAGGGCAGGACGCCGATGTATTAAAAAATCGTCACAAGAAAAGCGTTCACAAATCATCGCAAGGAAATCACAACAGGAAAAAAGGAGCTCAGTTCAAACGATCACAAGGTTTCATACCTTCGTAGCGTTTGCATGTGCAACATGCCTCAGTGAGTTTTGTTTAAATGTCGAATAGTCTCTATTTATAAAGAGCCCATTACCATGTTACACTTTGATATAATTATTATTAAAAATGTGAAATTTTATAAAATCTTAATGTACATTGGAGCATATTTTATTTTTATTAGTCAGAGTTTGACATTATTTAAGTTTATTTATTTTTTTCATTTTAAGGTTAGGCTGTAAGAAGATAGCTTCTCAAGCTATAAGTTCTTTTTCTGTATTTAAACTGACTGTTAATAATTATATATGAAGGCTGTGATTTTATAAAATGTTCCTTGGAGTTATTTGATAAAGTTATATTTTGTTAAAATGGAGTAATGATTGTTTGACCGAATGAAAGAATTTATTGTTACATTTCCTCATAAGTATTCCCCTTTGCTATCGTTGTACCTTGTACCTAACATGTGATCTTTAATATCATTATTTTTTTTTATTGTGGAATAAAACACCACTTAAAAATGAGTTTTATATTCATATTTTTTTTGTATTTATAATCTTTCTTGTTTGGTTTAGTGGAACAACTTTGATTTTCAAAATTTTGAAAATTGAAATTCACTTAAATGATTTTTTATATTCTTTCTAATGACTCCTTTATGTACTGTTAAAAAATAAAAAATAAAACAATTTATTTATTGTGCTTTTGTTTTTTAAATTAATAATTACTATACTTGAGCCAATTAATTTCAAAACTGAATCAATTAATTTTAAACAATTTAACAGATGACACCATAAATTTATAAATTTGGTCCAGATTTATATGTAAATGCGTAACTTTTTTCAATTATATGACTATATCTCTATGAAAAAAAGTTCTAAATCTTTTATGGAAAAATTTTATGTTCCATATATTTTGGCATATTAGAAAAAAAAAATTAATTTTGTGCATATTTAGGCTCCAAAGGGTTTGTATTACGCATATTTAGGTTAATTGAATTTATTTCAGGCATAGAAAATTGTTCAATTAATAAAGTTAATCGTGAATTTGTAATTTGTAATTTATGTTATGCAGGTTCATTTTATGTTTATATTTTGTAATCTCTCAATTCAGGATTTAAACCAATACATATTTTTTTTTCGAATTTATAATTAATTGGTTTGTTTTATTTTTCCTTCTCTATTGTTTTCCATATTTTATATCGTTATATTTATATTGGCACCCTTTGAAAAGGAGTTGAGACTATGTTTTATAACATCGCTCGCCCCAACAGTGCCATCATTTTGAAGATCTTCAGGTGGGAATAGTAGTCTCATCCGTGAAATTTCAGGAAAAGAAACTTTATTTAGCCTTATTTCAGAATAACTCAAACACATATACAATATATATAAGTATACATTTTTTTCTGGATTAGATCCATCGATTATTACTAAAATCCTTACAAAAAAACAAAAAGAAAAATTATCAAAATCAATTAGAAACTTGTACTTTTGAAACAATTTGTACCGACTGAAGGAGCAAAGTGTGTTAAAGATTTTTTTTTAAGCAGAAACAGTTGAGATTTGTATTTCGCACATCAAAAAACCCTCCAATATGGACTTTCATAGCAATAGAAAATTGCAACCATGATTATTTGAAAGATTATTATGTTCCCTACAAAACAAGAAAATAAAGTCATCGAAAACGGACCATTATTTACAAGATACAGCCATTGTTAGCAGATACAGCCTATAGTACTGGACCATTATTTACAAAGTACATTCTATAGTAATCTACATGTGTTGGTTTATTATCAAGAAGGAATTAATATGATTCAACAGAACTAGTTATCAATTAATTAAGATAAAATAAAACTAAAACCCTCGAGGAGCTACCTATCAGTATAGTTGCTATTAGAAGTTAAAATGATATGAAAATCGTAAATAGAGAAATCATTCATTTTTTGTCAAATAAGTTATTTTTAAAATATATTCATTGATCAACACTTAATCCTTATTACCTTCTTTCATATCATCATACTTTTGGAGGTATATTATAAAACTTAAGGCACATTTCAATGGTTTTTGTTATATATAAGTCCTGACCTTACTTATAATTGTGCACTTTTTTACCATAGTGAAAGGCATTTTGGATTGAGATAGATGCTTTTAATAAATAGTGATTTGCTAGGTAAATGTTATGCAGTACTCATTAAAAATAGAAAATAAATTTAGTGATAAATCTGGATTGAACTGGTTTTGAAACTAATTAGCTCTCTTTTACCTATTTCAGAATAACAATTTTCCATTTTTTAATTACTTTTTTGATATCATCGGCACCATGTTAAAGTAACGAATGTGAGCCCGCTCGACGTTACACGTTCGTTACTTCAACATGGTGCCGACGGTATATACAGGGCGTTCCATAAGTAAAAGGAAGAAATATTTAAACGGGTGATAACAGACCTCAAGAGTTACAAATAAATTGTTATAAATAATAGTCTGATTTTTCACTGAGAAGTAGCAATTCTAAGATTTGTGTTTTTTTAAGTAAGTTACTATGAATAATTGTTATGTATTATTACATTTTCATGAAAATAATTTAGACAATTGTGGGTTAAACTTTTTTTTTATAAATGTCAATTAATAATAATAAGTCATTGCTTTAAATAATTATCAATTTCCTATGTCTTCTGGCAAGATTTCCATTTGCCTGATGATGGATATTTCTGAAATAAAATATCCCATCCATAGAAAATTTTACTCCTTCAGAAAAAAAGGTCTACCCTTAAGTAGGGTTTTCTTCCTTGAATTTCAAAAAGCTTCCATATTGCTTTTGAATGTAGCTTTCATTGTCAATATAAATTTAAAATAATAGCTCATTATATTAACCCACCAATTGCTTGAATTATTTTCATGAAAATGTAAATATTAGAATCATAAACATTATGAATACTGACGATAGAGATATATGTAAAAACACTTGTTAACTTAATTACTATGAACTTGAAGCTTGTTACCAAGCAACCAAGTTTTTCTAAAAGAAGGTTAACTGTTGATGAGCTGGGGGTGCTTAAAAAAATCTCTAACAATAAATGATTTTATGAAAATAGAACTTAGCATAGTTTAGCTGCTTAAAAGTCAAATTTTTACAAAGACAAAATCTACTTGCATTTAACATATATTTCGTCTAATTTACTGCTATTAAAAAACTAACAGAGCGAATGTGATCATTTTATGAGGCTCTAGTTGTAGGGTTGAAGTGATAGACAGCATAAATTAATTATTTAACAAACTTTATTTAAAAAAAAAAAGACATATATTTTCTTTTAATTAAAAAACAAACAAACAGAATAACAATTTTAAATTCAATATTCTTATATTGCTATAAATTTTATAAAATTATTTAACTTAAGCCTACATTCGACAAAGTTATGAATTAAGCTTTGGCGGCATTATTAAAACGTTCACTGACATCAACCCAATTGATAATGTCAAATATTTTTCCTGTATAATCCGGGCGACGATTTTGGTATTGCAGGTAATAAGCGTGTTCCCATACATCAATTCCAAGAAGGGGAATCAAACCTAAAATTAAAAAAATATTCAACCATAAATAACATAATATAGGAACTAATCACAAACTTATAAAAAATGAAAGTTTTTCTGTTAATTGCAAAGGGAAAAATACTAACAAGTCCATTTATTCTTTTTATTGTAAGTTGGGAACTTCACCAACAAACTGGCTACCTGAATAAATTTGCGATTTTTATTCTTGATGAAGATTATCTAGGTTATAACAATAAAAACAAACTAATTCCCAAATTTTTCTGATATATATTCCCTAATATTTTCTCACATATTGTCGTCTCTAAATAACAATATTAAGTTTGAAATACATAATATTACTCTTTATAAATGCATGTTAATTAGATGGTTACGTCTTTAGCAGCTGTAAGTGTCACACTGCGATGGACATAAGCCATACCCTCCGGTCTTCAACATAAATCCAAGGTGGACTGTTATTTGATTAATTTAATAGGCCCATTACTGTCCTTTTTTTTAGTTTTCCATAGTTTTTTTTCTATTTTGGAAAATACCAAACTATCCGTAATCATCCTTATCAGAGTATAATTGGATGAAAGAAGATAAACCAATGAATTATTTTATACCTGAGCAGAGGTCTTTACATGTCCACAGCACAGTTGAATTTAAAAGACAATTCATTCCTTGAAAACACCTTATATAATTACATTAAAATGCCCTTGAAGAATATAGTGCTGGAAAAGTAACTAAATATATATCAGAAGATATTTTGTGGGAAGAAGTTTGGAAGCTAGAAACACTATTATAACCTAAGAGGAACGAAGACATTCAACATTATCAGATAACAGTTGGTAGAGCATGACACAGATGTGTTTCCACTCTTTTGACTTAGTTTTTCCTCGTCTCTAATCATCTTTAGCAAAATGAAAAATTAAAGTATTAATTTTCTGTAGGAAGGCTAGATAAGACGAACCTGTAGTTCCCTCGAGAGGATCTTGATTCGCACAAGCCGCCAACTGAAGCCTTTTAGATACCTTATTGTAACCAAGCCAACCCCATCCTGAACCCTGGATACCATTAGCTAAAGTTTGCAACTGTTTTCTAAAATCGTCAAAGCTGCCAAAATCACGAATAATAGCTTTACAAAGCTCATCTGCAATAATGAAAATAACATATTTAAAATAAAATTTCATATTTAAAATATGAAAAGTAAAACTAACAATTGAAAATTGGGCAGCAGCTTACACTTACCACTTGGCTTGCCACCGTCCGGGGAGAGGTTCTTCCAAAATATGGAGTGGTTTATGTGCCCGCCACCGTTGAACCTCAGAGCAGGCAGTAAGCTTATTGCTTTAGTCGCATTATCTAAATAAAAAGAAGCATGTATATAAGTATTGCACACACACATATAGTAGATTTTGCAGGTGTAACATTTACTTAATGTAATTATTTTTTAACTTTAATTTTATAATCATACTAGTTGGCCTTTCGCGAATAATTTGCTAAGTATATTTGTCAGTGAACAAATAATACACTAATAAAGGAATTAATTTTCTTTTCGTGGTCGAATTACTATTTACTAGAATTAATAGTTCATTTATAATAACTAGTGTTCGCCCAGTGGTCGAAATTCGACCATATCAATTAAAAATTTGACGAAAACATAATTAAATAAAATATAAATTCAATAAATAAAGGAGCTTAAACTACTAACAATTATAAGTAATACAAAATAGACTCATTCAAAATATTTAATTTACATTTTAATTTATGTGAGTTATTATCACAATAAATTGATGTTATGATTAGCAGGTAAAAAATAAATTTAAATTATCAATTTCAACTGAGTTGAAATTCATTTTTATGCAGAACTTCTCCGTAAACAATGCTCTTTTTGGTGAGAAGAACTTTTGGAGATTAGCTGTTTTGAACAAACTACCATTTATATATTTATTTACAAACTAGTTCATATTTTTATTTATTGATAATGCTAAAGCTTGTCAATAGCTATTAAACAAACAAGGAGGAAGAAAATTCTTTGCTGATAACTGACCGATTTCGATGATTATAATAGTATTTAAATAATAATAATAAGCCCATTTAAATAATAATGGTTGTAACCTACTATAAATTCCATACTTTTTAACTGAAAATTTTGGGGTTTGTGAATATTTTTCCCACCTGAAGATGATCTTCAAAATGGTGGCTAAATCATTGGATTTGATGAAGAATTAATGCCACAGCTATTTGAGTCTGTATTTAGACAGATACGTGTGCTCTCAAAAAGAATGTTTAGATTAGATCACATAATCTGACTTAACATGTGTTCACCTAATTTTAAATTGTGTTATTTTAGAAACAATAAATAAAAAAACAAATTGTTTGGTCACTCTCAGTCTTCAGTATTAAAATGGCCACTTTCCTAGAATTAAGACAAAATAATTTCTAGATAATAGTTGCGAATCGCTATTCCAAGTTAGAGGCTGGTTACAAGAACACTTGAGCTCACTATATATGGAATCCCAAAATTTGCTGAGTATTGAAAATCATACGACACATTTTTGTCTTAAATACACTGAAAGTGATTTATTCAAAACCCCTAAAAAACATTTTTACAATTTTCTCGAAATAAACGGTTTTAATGATTTTGATTAAATTCATTATATCATTGTAAAATTAAACGATTTTTAATATAATGTAGATCTTATTCTCTAACAGTGTTTAAAAGCCAAATTTTTAAAAGTTCTTCTTCTAAAGTACATTTAATTTGAAATAATTAAGTATTTCACATTATTAAGTGATATAAAAAATGTTTAAATATAATGAATGAAGAAAATTGACTGGTATCTTAAGGAGAAATAAGGGTTGGAAGCTATATAAAAACAGCTGAGAACACCCGATTGCCGATCCTCTCTGTTTACAGATACTCAATATCCCTTTGTACACAGCTTTCATATTGTTAATTTAACTTTTATGTCTCACTTATCCATAATTTTTTACAAAATATTTTCTAGTGAAATGTTGAGAATTCACTGACATAAATCTAATAATATTCAATATTTATGAATATTGAGTTATTTTTTCGACAGGTTTCGTGATATATTCATGATAAAACACAGAATTTTTCCAAAAGATCCATTCCTCCCACAATCATTGGTATTGTTTCATACTAAATACAGTCATAAAAGGAAATGGAAAGCGATGAAAATGTGTAAATTTAACAGATTCGATGGGTGAGAAAAATATGGTAATTAATAGTTTTAACTGAAGTTATAGTGTCGTGAAAGTTGTGTGATGCACGCAGTGCACCAGTTTATTTCTTATTCATAACAAGCAGCCAGCGCCCCCCTCCAGATTAGCTCCCGGGGGCAATTTCCCTGCTTGGCTGGCACTGACCACAACCTCAGCTGGAAAGGACCTGCTAGGGATTTTTTTTTTTGAGCTAATGGAAGTCAAAATAAGTGATAAAATTAAAGTTAATTACTGCTCCAAGGAAAGGAACAGTATGGAGTTTAGCGAAGTTATAAATTCGCTAAAATAAAATAAATTTATAAATAAGTTATAAGTTCTAGGAATACTACTTATACCTTGATTATGGGATGTTGGTAAACTTGTCAAAGTGGAGTGACACTTATGTACAGTGATATCTTAACAAACTATGATGTGAAAGTATATCATCAGTTTATTACAAAAAGTCATCAAGTAAATTTTTGATGGAGCTGAATTTTCAAAAATGCTTTTATGAATTTTGACCTTATTTATAGTAAGTGCACTAAAATAATACAAATCCTTTTATGTATCAAATAGTTACAAGCACACAATTTTTTGATTTCAGAATGAAAAAATCATTATAAAAGTGATTTAAGGTTATGGAATTTCACTCGATGACTTTATGCAATAAACCGACTATAAGACCTATTGTGTTGAGATTAAAATAGAAAATTTATAATCATTGTTAAACCTTTAAGTAGTGCGAAATCTTCATTTGTTCGTTCTTTGGTTGAATATGAGCAAATTTCATTGAAAGACTTATTATTAAAAACTATACTGTGACACTACTAACTTTGTGCAATGGCTTCTTTGATTTGATCTTGGAAAGTAACTAAGTTTGTCACATAAGCATTGTGGTGTTTTTTGTGGTGCAATTCCATTATTTCTTTACTGATGACTGGTTCCAAAGCATTATATGCATATGGTAATTCAGGTAATGTGTGGGTTGACTTCCATAATATACCCCTACAATTGACAAGTGTTGAAAGATTAGCTTATTTCTTGAAATTTATTAACACGTTATTATTCACAAAATATAATAATATATAAAAGATTATTTCGTTTTTTTAAATTAATTTCTATTAAAGTCCATAGAAAATAGATTCTTACCCACTCGGTCTCGTGAAAGTTCTTTTAAGCGCAAACATTTTCCGGCAAGAGATTTAATGTATATTGCAATATTCTTATAAAAGTCAGATCTTATCAACAAAGTCCTCAAACCGAAAACCCAATCCAACACTGGCCCTATCAAGAAGGGTGCTCAAGTGGCGCTCCTAGCGGCAGTTTCTGCTTATCAGTCGATCAGCTGATTCCGCCAGCTTACTCCCGTTCGGTATCAGTGAGCAGTAGCCAGTCATAAACAATTTATTTAAAACTGTAGTCCATTGTTTAATCATTTTGTAGATTATTAATTTTAAGCATTTCTCACTTTTTTTTTTCATCGTACAACATGGCATTTCTTTCGCCCTTCTTCATGAACTAACTAGGTACATTATAAAAGGTAAGTTGCTTTTATTTACATAATGTTCATTTAAAATTGTTACAATTTGATTGTTTTTAATAATCTTTTAATTCCTTTTTAAAAGCTTAAAACTGTCTAAATTACACTTGCTTTGGATACGTGGTGCCGTAGTATGTTGTTCCTCCAATTATTGTTTTATTTGGTTATTTTTTTATAATTATGTTTTATCGCATTAGCTGAATTTTTCTCGTATTTATTAACCGTGTTTGGTTCTTAATGGTAAATACGAGAAGGAATGAAGTTGAAGTTATAACTTATGAATTACATTTGTAAAATGGTGCATTTCCGGTTATAGCAATATCCAATGTGTTTAAATTTTCAAGAAATGGTAATTTAAAATAAGAATTGTTAATAAATGCCAGGAGAGTGGTTCCGTTGATTATGAACTCCACTATGGCATTTTAAATTATAGAATTATTTGTTTACGACACATTTTAAGTTTATTCTTAAGGTAACAAGGTAGAATTCTGTATTTTTACCCTTTTGTCTTTCTAAATTATGATATTCATTAAATAATCTTTCTATAGTACATATAATAGACTAGCATAGACCTCTTTTCTAGCTCTCAGGAGCGATGGATTTTGATGAATATCAAAATTGATCGTTTGAGGTATCAAATGAATGAAAAGTTTATGAATAAGTGACGAATGCTAATTTTAAAACTTAAAAATTGACTACAATTACAATAAAAGTCATCGAAATAATTGGGATATTTCAAAACTAAGATGATCATGACGGCATGAATTGTGTAATAAAGATTTCGTCGCGGACATCGAAACCTGGTAAAGTTCCTACGAAGCTTTAAAGCCCCAAAAATTTACTTGTTTCAAGATTCAAGGTAATTTTTGTCGAATGCCTCTTTGGAGGAATAGTTGTAATAATAGGTTTAGACTTCGGGAGGCCGATTGCCCCTTAATCAAAATAGAGAGGGGGAGTTTCGCTGTCCCCCCAATATTTCAAAGAACAAAAATAAAATCAAAATAAATAACAGTTAATCTACACGAATAAATGAAATATGTCAACTAAACTAAAGTAGATTAAGAAAGTAGGAAGACTAGACTATACTGCAAAGCTAAGGCCTCCAAGTAGGTATGCAGCCATTTTACCACGCCCTATGTAACTATTATTGAAATCGTAGTTTACATTCAAAGATTAGGTAATTATTTAGATGAGGACCGCACGAGTTACGCCTCGTTCACAATCACTTCGGTCACACCTGTTCATGAAACCTCGAATACAGTCTTGCAGATAAATTCGGATGCATTCCGCACTCCATGAACAAGTGTGAACGAAGTGATTGTGAACCTGTGCGATCCTCATCTAAATAATTAACAAAGATTATTGTATGTAGCAGCTTATGTTAGGATTTTATGATTCATTCGTGTGCGCCATTCCGTTTTTAGGTGAAGATTTCTCGCGGCAATTTAAAACTATCATTGAACTGAAAGTTCATCTCACTGTTTTAATTATTTGATAGAAATAAAAATATGTAATATGCTTGTTTCGTTTTATAATAAACATATTGATTATGTTAATTATCACTCATAATTTTTATACATTATATAAACTCCAGATTTTTGTTGGGATTCATCGCGCTCCCCACTCCAATCAGAATCGAAAATCTGCGCCTTTGGTTGTTATCGGATAGTTATCACATGCCTAGGTTTAAAAAATAATACATTGCTATTTATGATAATTATTATTAAAAGAATTGTGATCTTTAATTCCTTATCATTATCTTTTCCCATCATAGCCTAGTTTCTCATAGCCGCTTATCAGTGTGAGGCTGCTTTTGTAGTTTGGACCAGGTGGACCTATCCCCTAGCTATCCCCTACTCGTTTTTTTCATATATAATGCTTACGGTCCTAATAAGTCCATTATTTACACCTTTTCCGACTAGAATCCCAATTATGTCCTTTTTCCTAACCCAGTGAAAGGCCTTACAGAGAAACACGAACCTGAGAGTTCTTTACCCTCCTGGACAATCTTCTCTGCGATTTGTCGTACGGTGAAAATTAGATCCTGTGTGCTTTTTTGATTTCTGATTCTATATCGCTCCTCTCTAATCTCGGTTACTACGATTCTTCTCACTCTGCCCTCTATTTTACTGAGAACACTATGGAGCGAAATACCTCGATGATTTCTGCAGCCACTCTTGTCTCCCTTCTTATATATTAGCTCTATGATTGCGAATTTCCAGGATCTTTTTCTGTTTCTGTGTCAAGTTCAAAGTATGGAGGAACATCTCCTGGCCTTTACTTCCCGTACATTTCATCATTTCCTGAGTAATTCCGTCCAGTCCCGCTGATTTACCGAGTTTCATTTTGGAGATGGATTCCTGCAATTCTTCTTCCTCGATGTATCATCCACTTCTGGGGATCATCCTTTACAGCACGGACCTCGGTTTGGTTCAAATCACTTTCGTCCAGCAGCTCCTTAAAATAATCTCTCCGCGTCTCCATAATCTCATCATTCCGCCAGATAATGTTTCCCTTTCTCCTGTTAATTATCACTCATAATTTTTATACATTATATAAACTCCAGATTTTTTTTCTCTTTCTCCTGATTCGTTTTAATGTTGTGGGTCTCTGGTTGTGCATTTCTTTGAGTACTTTGAAGAATAATTTTTGATTTCCTTTTGTATTTTTTTCCAGTTTGTGACCCTGATCTTCTCACGATTTGTCCTTGGCTAGAAATATTTTATTCTCAGTTTCCTTTCTCTTCACTTTGTTCTTTTTGTGAGGAAAGGGTGTTCTCTGGTCCATGAAGCCTTTCCAGGCTGCTCTCTTCTCCTTTACTGCTCTCTTCAATCCTCTGCCCAGCAGGCAGTTCGTTTGAATTATGACCTGATGCTCTCCTGTCCACAGGCTTCCACCAAATTTCCACCTCCTGTCCAAATTTCCACCTTTTGATTCGTGATGGTACATGAATCCTACTGCGCCGGCTGCTCGCCAATGACTCCTGAGCCCAGAAGAGTGTGGTAGTAATAGTAGTCTTTCTTCTTTGATTCGGCGATGCCAAGTACATCTACTTTGGTACATCTACAGCTGCAAGTACATCTACTTTGGTACATCTACAGCTGCAAGTACATTTACTTTGGTACATCTACAGCTATAAGTACATCTACTTTGGTACATCTACAGCTATAAGTACATCTACTTTGGTACATCTACAGCTATAAGTACATCTACTTTGGTACATCTACAGCTGCAAGTATATCTACTTTGGTACATCTACAGCTATAAGTACATCTACTTTGGTACATTTACAGCTGCAAGTATCTCTACTTTGATACATCTACCAATACAAGTACATATACTTTTGTTCTTCACTCATGTGCGCCTAACTGTTTTTTTCTTAGCCATGCCTAATACTATATTTCAAAAACGTAGATTTGGAAAAGAACGGTCCTTTCGCTATTCCATGATGGCGATTTCATTCATGACTTGATGAAACATTGACTGTTTAATCATTCACTGATGATTCTACGGGAGGGAGGGGGGAGAGGGAGCTTTCGGGCCGAATTCCTCCTCCTCCCTCCTCTAAACGGAAAAGTAGTTTTCCAATATTTTCATAAATACTTGTCCATATTTATTTTTGTGAGTAATCTAAGGTAAATACTTAAAGAATCACTATATATTCTCTTTTTAAATTATACTACAATATTCAGCTGCTTAATTAATACAATATTCCCTTTTTAAATTATACCACAATATACAGCTGCTTAATTATTATATTTTTTTTGCCTTTTTTTTGGATTTGTTAAATATCGTTTCATATAGTTATTTTTTTCCTTCCAGAGTAGTTACAGATATTTAAAAAATGAAATAAACGAAACCCTGAAATCCGTTACTGTATCGCTCGCTATTTTTTTTTTTTTTTTGTGTGATTCAAAGTTTTCTTTTGGAATCTTCCGATTCATCCTAACAATAATATTTTTTTTTTTTTTTTTTTTTTTTTAGTATTTACTTTCTTCAATTAATTTAGAATATTGGATTATATTTTATAAATTACAGATTTAAATTCTATTCAGAATTAGCAAAGTTTTAAAAAATAAAATAAAGGTTGAGAATATAGACAGATACCTGTTGGGAAGCAATATTAGTGTGATCTGCTGATATGGCGCTTTCTGAAAGGCTTCTCGTGTATTCGCCTTTTGAATAAAATTACTCACGTTAATCTTTGGTGGTGTGGATTTATGTTTAGCAATTTATTGATTAATTTTACAATCAAGAAATGTAATATTGCCAGCACCCGTTAAATATAGATGTATATGTATGATTAACTTTATTCCATTAAGTCCAAATTAATTTTTAAAAAATTAATAAACAAAAAGTTTGCATGAAAAAAATAAGTGGCTTCATATCAAAGACGGACGTCTTTCATTTTTAAAAAGTTAAGAAAAGTCTAATTTTTGTTACATTTCCTCAATTTAAACAAGTTTTATTAATAATAAAACTAATAATAATTTTTTTTTTCATGGTCAAACTAGAACATTCTTAAATAAAATCATCAAAAATCAATTTGAATTGAATCTAGTGAAGCATGTTAAATTGAATAAATGTTTATTTCACTGATTCGTATAAGACAGGTTGTTGGAGATATTAAAACAATTGCGCATGATA